CACCAAAACAAAGACTCTGGGTGAATGAAAAGACAAAGGACTGGATGGATTGTATGACAATCAGCTATAGATTTTAAGTTATCAAAGAACTCAGCCTGTCTCTGCCATACACACTTTGTCTGTCAATGTTCATCCATCTCACCTTTCTGTCAAGTCATCCATCCACTGAGAGAGCATGCAGGTTGGTCAGTCTGCGGTTGTACATTAGTGTTAGCCTATCCAAGTAACACTTGTTGTCAATGTCAAAAACAGCTTGCTAGCTAATGTTGTTGTTTTTTTTTTTTTTTTAACTAAGCCCTGCCCACAAAAACATCATACTGCTTACTAACATTTAAAGGGTGTATAGTTACAGCTGTGTTTGTTTCTAAGCTATAATGAACAGTGAGCAGATGATATGTGAATCAGAATCCTGACTGGGTGAGAAAAAGTCTTCTTGCCTACAAAGGAAAAAGACAGTAACTTCGAGTTACTGCGCCAGCTGATTCTGTCGACACCTCCCCCTGCCACGCCACCACACCCAGCTTGGCAGATCTCGTGCGCCCACGAAAATACCAAACTGGCTGTACGCCGGGCTCTGCCAGATGAAAATACAACTGCGCGGGGTCTCTCCGAAGCCTCACCGGCATACACGAAAATAGAGCCCATAATCTCCAATTTATAATATATTCTAACAGACGTTTTTTTTGTCTTTTATAATTTCAATGTGATTGCGTATTGTCCTTCCACTTTTTATACATAGCTTTGTTCTTTGGAACCAGAGACTGATGCTAGAGCCCCTTCCTGCCCTTCATGAGCCATCGTGAAAAAGCAATAGCAGGGAACGCACGCAAGGTTCTGTTCAGGGACCCCCATTCTCCACACAAGCATGCGTGAAAGGCCAGGAAGAGCCCCTTCCCGCCCTTCGTGAGGCATCATGGGGTGTAGAGCAGCGATGAACAGAACCCCCCAGAACAAGAGTAGTGGAGCAGTATAGCCAGCACAAGGGTGGAGCTGGGGCGGAGGTGGGTTGCTGGTTGCCTGTTGAAGCAGAGGAAGAGGCTGGGTTAAGGCAGTTTTAAATAGGGCACTCTAAAGGCAAAGGACCAATAGGAGCTAAGAGGAAATCAGCTGGGCCAACAGCTGGTTGAGGTGGCTACCTTTCATTGGCTGCGGATCAGTGCTTGACGTTGTGACCTGCCAGAACTAACGCCATGCTTCACATTGTAGTCTTTCACTTTCATTGGGGCTCACATTCCTCTGTGATTTATGTGTTCATGTAAAGAACAACATGCTGAACAGCTCACTTCCTCGCCTGCTGCTCATACTGGGTACCATCCCGACACTTCTATCTTATGAATATCAAAGTGAAAGCAGAAAGTCCAAGTCTGCAGTAATTTGATGTTGACCCATTGCTGATGTGGTAAATGAGCCAACAGGAGACATCAGTATGGAATAAAATGGCCATGATAACCATGTGACATTGACCAGACAGTTTGGTTTGTTTGAACATGTACAGTGTGAAAACAAACTAAACAACATGAAAGTGTGATTTCACCCCCAATCTACTGGACTATCATGCGTGAAAGCCACCTTACTCTCTGGGACTGAAAGTGTTACTTGAGTTAATACTGATGGTTCCAAGCAGACTGGCTGACCAATATGCTCTTGCCTACAAAACCCAATTCCAATGAAGTTGGGACATTGTAGTAAATGTAAAAAAAAAAAAAAGCAGAATCTAATGATTTTCAAATATTTTTTTTACATCTATCCTCAATTAAATTCACTACAAAAGCAAGATATTTAATGTTTAAACTGATAAACGTGATTGTTTTTCTGCAAATGGTCACTCATTTTGAATTTGATGCTGTAACACATTCCAGAAAAAAATGAGACAGGGTCAACAGTCTGGGAAAACTGAGGACTGCTCCAAATACACTTGTTTGGATTATTCTCCAGGTGAACAGGTTCACTGAAAACAGGAGAGGGTCATGATTGGGTATCAAAGGAGCATCCCTGAAAAACTCAGTCCTTCACAAGCAAGGATGGGGCCAGGTTCACCACTTTGTCAACAGCTGCGTGAGCAACTAGTCCAACAGTTTAAGAACAGTGTTTCTCAATGTATAAATGCAGGAATTTCATCACAGTCCATAATATCATCAAAAGATTCAGAAAAACCAGAGAAATCTCTGCATGTAAGCAGCAAGACCCAAGACCAACATTGAATGACTGTAACCTTTCACCCCTCAGGCGACACTGCATAAAAAAACGTACATCATTCTGTAAAGGATTTTACCACGGGAGCCCGGTGAAATAGACTGGAAGTCACAGTGAAGCCTTTTCATAATATCAAGACACGATACCTGAACTTCAAAACAGACAAAGCTACTAACAAAGCTATCAGAAGGACAATATAAAGACTGAAAATGAGCATAATACTCCCTCTTTAACACCTATAGATGTTTGTTATCTTATCAATCTTTAAAGAAACCTTTCAATACTTATGAAATTAGTTTTTCAAGTTACACATCAATAGTGCATGTATTAGCCATGAAAGTTGTTGGTCTACTCTCCCCTAAAATGAGAAACTGCAGGTAGAAACAGGGTGCTAGATCTGCTTCAGTTTTCTGATATTTTTGCATCTCAGTTATGTATAATTTTTGAGCACCAACACTAAAAATCACCTGATGTACACAGTGATGAGTGTAGGGTTTGTTATTTCAGCTCAGTCTTCCCCTTCAGCAGCTAACACAGGGTATTTTGATACTGTAAACATATCCTGTGGACCATGACTTTGTGTTATTATGCAATAAAAAACAGTGAAAGCGGAGCTCTTACTCTGAAGATGCTCTTTCATTCAGATTTTCTGGTTTTCTGACCGAACACCTTAATGTTGAAGAAAGTCAGTAACAAACAGTGTTTAGCATTCAGTACAGCAGTGGACTCTGGTTAATGATGGTCGCAGACTGAAGCCTCATGTGAACTGCAGCTTTATTTTGATTCTCAAAGTAGTTCCCAAAATTTTCTCTATTGGTGAACATTAACTTGTTGTTTATACACCAGGTAACCTGGGTTCCATCCAATTCTTGATGAAATTCCTCTGCTTTTCTCTTTAGTGGTTTGCTTATTGTGAAGTACGGTCAGTCCCATCTGCAAGGCCCCTTGGAGTCCACCCTTCTGTCAAGCCCATATTATTGTGTACAATGTACAAAGTATAACCCCACATCAAAATTATTGAAATATCCCTTTACAGTCTGGACACACCCTGCTTCTGAGTGGTCTGTCTCTTTGGCCTTTCTCTCCAACTGTAGTAAGCAAATAATGTTGACAAATCACTTCCAAAATGGATAAATAATGACTGCTATTGTGTCCTTGATTTGTCTTTTAAAGACATGATAAAAATAATGTAATCCTTGTTATGTTTTTTTTAAGTGCTGCAAGAGCAAGATCATGCTTTTTCATGCATGAAGTGCTGACTCAGGAAACCTGCCTATACAGTCATCTTGATTTCTCGGGATATTATGCTGATAACCAGTTTAATAATATATCAACAGCCCTTTACACTGTTTATATAACACCCCTCTTTAAATCTCTGCGACTTGTGGACCTGTAATACAAACCTAGAGAGCAGAGCCGGAAGGAAACGCTGTGGTTAAAAAAAAAAAAAAAAAAAAAATACACCTGGGTCAAACACAGGAGTTACATAATGCTTTTTTCATGCATGCTAGAATAATTAGACTTTGTTCTAAATTTAGATGTAATTACTGCAGTAATAAAATATGCACAGAGTTCTGCATTCATTCTTGTTTGATTTGTATAGAAAGATAAATTATTTCATGCTAACATTTACGAGTCATGGACATTCAATGTTTCTGCCTTACAGTTACACAAATTTACACTCTTCTTTGCCTGTTGAGAACCAGTCAAAGAAACTGACTATATAGAAGTCACAGGTGTGTTTTGCATCAGCTGTCGTCACAGAGTATTTAAAAGAGCTCATGGGGATAAATCTGTGGCATGTTATCGATGCATGTCTCTCTTTCTGGAGGCCAAAGGCTTCATCTCTGCTGTGACAAAACAGGACCTTACAGATCAGGGATTTTCTCTCATGTAGGCTGGATGAAAGAGCTCTGGGCTGACATGGCTGTGTGCCTGTCAGTGTGTCCAACAAACGAGCGGACCGTCAGCCTCCTCAGAGATCTGATTTACAGCCAGTGAATATTTTATTGAAGCCTGCTGCATGACATCAGTCATAGAGCTGACAGGCTGCCAGAGTCAAATTTGAACTTATCCTACATTTCCATCAGGGTAAAAAAAGAAAAAAATGTTATAATATTTGTTCATAGGTTTAATCATACAATAATACACTTGAATGATGCGATGCATGTCTCATGATGATTTAGTGCACAGACTGATGCAGAATTTATCATAAAATTTATTGTTGCTTACCATAAACCAACAGTCACCCTGACTTAATGTGATTGATTCACATTTAATAGATCATTTGTTAAGGCATGATAATTACTTGAATCAATAATAAATATACATAAAGAAAGCTGGCTATGAATCATATAGATGTGCATTGCTTACTAATTAAGTTTTTTTTCTTCAAGTGTTTGCATCTGTCACTGTTTGAGTAAACAAACAACTCACATTAGATAAGCTGCTTGGATAAGTGCATTTTAAAGGACTGAATGTTTTCCTGCTGTGCCAAATATGAGAAATAATTGGTGATAATAATTATTTAATAATTAATTAAATAAGTGGTGACATCATATAAATACCTAGGTGTACATCTGGATAATAAGTTGGATTAGTCTAAGAATATAAACTTCATCTACAGAGAGGGGCAGAGTCACCTCTTTTGCCTGAGAAGACTCCGATCAATAGACATCTGTAGTAAGATGCTGCAGATGTTTTATCAGTCTGTGGTGTCTACAGTGTTCTGTTCTACGCTGCAGTCTGCTGGAGAGGAAGCATCAAACACAAAGATGCAAGACGTCTTAACAAGCTGGTGAAAAAGGCTGGCTCTGTGATTGGACTCAAGCTGGACTCAGTGGAGGATGTGAAGGAGAGATCTACTCTGAGGAAGGTGGAGACTATTCCAAAGAACATGGATCACCCACTTCATAACACCTTGATGGACCAAAGGGCCAATGGTGGTGGACGGCTCCTCTCTCTTCACTGCAGGACAGAAAAATTCAGAAGATCTTTAGTACCAACAGCCATTAGACTTTATAACTCTTGTGTAAATAGAAGATAACTTTTAGAGACATATTATGTGAGACAACAGACAATTGAATTTACCTTCAGGGATTAATAAAGTTCTTATTCTTATTCTTAACTGAACCAGACACTCCATGTTTGTCATTCTGGAACAGACAGTCGGCTGCTCACTGTAAACCAAAACAACAACTTAATCATAACTTTATTTACATAAAATAATGATTCAATTTATCATATATTATGACTTCACAAAGACTCTGTCCTTTTAAGATTATGACTTGATTTATTTGAATGACTTTTTGTCTTGAAAAAGTTCTTGTTACTCCTGATACTCTATTGCAGGGGACAAACTGAACATTTCATATCAAATGATCCACATACTGAAATCTGACACAAGTCACCTCTGCCTGTTGACACTAAAGGAATAAGGTCTATTTCCTAAAGCGTTACAAATCCAAAGGCCGAACAACATGGAAGATATTGATCCTGTCGTGCAGTCAGTGCAACTGTAGCAAAGCTTGTGAGTGAAATATTTAGTTTAAGCTCCTACAGAGGAGCTTGAATCATAAGTGGCAGTGATAACAGCGATGTTCAAGTTGTGAGATTTTCCTCATCAATGTTTACAGGTGTGCAAATCACAGAGCTCTGAGAAGAGGAAAAAGAAGAAGTAGAAAAGGAAGAGCTGACTAAAGCCTAAACTGTAAATATAAACATTTCTACAGATGTCCCATTCACTTTCAGAGTAAAATACTGAATGAAAAATAATGTGAATGAAAACTAACAGATCACAAAGCTGTGGACTTGTTGTGCTGTTTGCTCCTTTGTTTTTGAACTGTAAAGTTCAGACATTTATATAACGATTTACTCAGTTACTCTTTCAAAAATCATATTCCCCCATTCTGATGACTCACATTAAAAAAGAATAAAATAAAATCTCTCCGCTCACAGATAAAACCCAAGCCTTTATATTTATCAGATCTAACTATTCCCAAATAGGTAAGAAAAGGTTTAAAAAAAAATTCAAAACAGAAGCCTGGGTTTTCAGAAGGATTTACATCACAGTGACTTGGTCATTTGGTCATAAGCACCAGAAAATCAAAATCTACTGAATATAAACTCACACATTATTTTATCGTGAGTCATGCATTACTGAGGACTTACTGTAATGTACCCCCTGTTTCTTGTCTGTTGACACTAAAGTACTCCTTAAAATAACTTTGAGATTGATTTAACTTTTAGGCATTTTTACCTTTTTTATTTAGGGAAGAATCCAGAATGTGCTCTGTCAGACTCTTTTTGTTTTTGAATAAATTACTTTTCAAACCGTTTCTTTGTCATGCAAATAATCAAACCACCATGGATGTAGTGAGTTTATGGTAAATTATTTCTCATGCAATGAATGCATAAGATATAAAAGACATGTTTTTTCTCTGTATTTATGATTACATTTACTGTTTGGGGCACATTTTTATCTGACAACCAGTTTGGTAAAGGCTGAAAGACTAAATGTGCCAGAAAATGTTTTCAGATCGATAGGAATTTATGAAACATCTCTTATTTATTGAGGTATTATGTCATCACCACTTGTGTATTTATAAATTACCAATTAACAAGGTGATGACCTGGCATTTTTAAAATGACCCAGTTTAACTTTTGTCACAATTCAGTGGTTGTCCTTATAAAAAACTGCTATAGTTGTACAACATTGAAATGCAATGACAGGAGCTCAAGAATGGACGTCACGTCATTTCTGCTCATTGTGGGACATTAACAACTAAAAATGTTATAATATTTAATAATAAATATTTTCTCTACTGTTCTAGGTCAAACACTCATCATATTTCTGATTTGGGGGTACAGCAGTAGTATAACTGGTTGATCAGTTTTTGAGGGTTTATGTGACCCCTATTTTGGGCAAAGACCTGTCTGGTTGTCTGAAACAACAGAAGGACACGCTTTCCAACTTGTTTTTAACTACAATATCACTTATAGCAGACTACCTGTGAGGTTGCATCTTGACTCTTATCCTTCTTCGAATTACAATGAATAAAAGCAGGGTGTTGTTGCTTTGCCTTGTGACAAAAGATACAGACTGGAGGTTGCTGGTGTTTTCCTATCTGAGTTCACAGCTGCCTCCTACCTACAGTATAAAGCCACAGTAGTAAAAAGCCTCCCACATCGTGTCAACCATAAATTCTTGTCTGTGTGAGTGATGCTTTCGGTAGCTATGGAGACCTAATATAATACACTCCCCCTCCCTCTCTCTCGCGCTCTCTCTCAGTGTAAGTCTATCTCTCTCTCCCCCTCTCCATCCACACCAAAGCTCTTTAGGCTACTTTGCGCATGTACGGCTAGTCAAACCGAGCATTGCACCGATTCCAAGATGGCGAAAACACGTCTGGCTTGTCTCCTGACTCTCCTCTCAACTCACTGTAAGTACAAAAATCATCATAAGTGGCTTTTATCCCTCTGTTTTCCGTCTCCGATTTGCGTGACCGTCAGAAGATATTTACTTCTACATCTGTTTGGTCGTGATTTTACCCCGGCGTTGGGCAAAAATAGACTCTGGCTGAGAAGTAACCCTATCTGGATGCAACTAACGATAAACTCATGGCACACGAACAGTAAAGACCTACATCTTTGACGTTAAGTATGTCTGTTTTAAATTCTGTTGACAAATCACGAAATAGTCGCCATTTTTGTTACAAATTACTGTTTGCATGACTCGTTCGGGAGATGGTGTTATCTCAGATTCATCGCTATGGTCCCTCACTGTTAGTCGAATAATTTATGTTGTATTTAAAATAATGAAGTGCCCTGCTCTATCTACACGAAGGACTAAACGAATGAGATTTTGTATCAGTTATATTATCGGTACATGACCTGCTAAATGAAATGAAGCTGGTACATTTTCGGAGTCGGCGATAAGCCACCACGTTTTTTGTACTCACTTTGGAAAAGTTTCCTAAGTTTGTTGAGAGTTCTCTTAAATTAAATATGAATAAGCAGTTTTGTGGCTTGCGCTGTTAACTATTTACCGTCGGTTTTCGGGGTCGTGATGGTGGCTGAGATGCTTGTAAGTAGTGATGCGAGATAACGGTTTTTTCTCCTCCGGCGGAATAAAGCAGGCTGTCCGCGGGAGGAGCCAGACAGGCCAGTCAGGCAGGCAGCGAGTGTTCTCCACCAGCCCCCCTCGTCTTCATTTGTCCGCCCGCTGCTGCTGCTGGACCCCTTCGAATCGCACCAAAGCAGGGGTGCTAAACAGAAACCGCTCGGGAAATCAATTTGTTACCAATATCCTCCTCTTAAACCCTCTCATTTCCACACCACTTCATCTGACGCACAAATGGAAGCGTTGACAGTCGAACGAACAGGAGCGTGGCCGTAGATTGAACATTAATTTAAAAATCCCTTCAGAGACTTGAAGCGGACTCTCGATAGTTAGTTTTAAACGCATTTATACAACGTTTGGAGTAAAATAAAAAGTTAAATTCCTCGCTATGTTTATCTTGATGCAAGATGGAATTAAACATCTACCCCACAGGTCTTTATTACATGTAGGTGTTCAGTGAAGCCACTTGTTGCTTTGCTGCGTCGCCATTTGTTGTTTAGTTAAGCGCTTTACAGCTTTTTTCACTCTTTTTTTCAGTGTAAAACTGCTTGGCCACGCTTTTCTTTAAAAAAATGTACATTGTAAAGCTGTTGTTGAAACGCTGTAAGAGAAAAGAGGTCTGCCTCAGGTTGGCTTGGAAAGAACAGGCATTAGTTAATCACATTAAGTGCTTTACCCTCCAGTGCTTCCTTTCTACAGACGGTAAAACCATGAGCATAAACTGACCAGCCATAACATACACCCAGGGAATCTAATGCAACCCAAAACAAAACAGGAGTTCTGCCATAAATTCTGCTTTTACAGAGCTTGACCATTTTCAAATATTCTTAATATGATCAGGCAGGTGCTAATTGTTTTTTTTTGGTATATTGTTGAAATTGATAAAGCGAGTGGTGGTGTGGTTGTGTGCTTTATTTTGAAAAGTGTTCCTATTTTTCTCCCCTCATGTTTGTAAATCAAGTAGACTAAATATAAAAAGGACATTTCAATACAAAACACTTGAGTCCACCACCATCACCCACCATGTCTGCAGTAATAAATTTGAAGTGGGCTACAATAACCGCTTGTCCGACCGTGTCAAAAAAAACCCCAAACAAATAGAAGCTTCCATAAGGTGGAAATTGTGGTAGAGCTGTTGTATTGGATAACATTAGATTGCCCGGGTGTTCAAAATGCTATGGCTGGACTACTAATTTAATTCAGGAGATTTTAATTTGGTTTAGATTGTCATTTTTAATTTTTTTCTACGTTTGCCTGGGTTTTGAATTTTGTTATTTGAAAGCATGACTAACTGTGCCTTGGTGGAGTTAGCCACGGATTGGTGCCTCTCTTGTTCCTATTTGAATTAAGCAAGGTGTGCCAGGACAGACTTTCAGATCAAAGAGAAGCACAGACATAAGAACCTCCTGTGATCTCTCATGGATGTGAACTGGCTTATTCTCTGCCTTAATTAGGAAAAGAAATGGAGCTTGGAGTTTTAAATCTGTTGCTGTACTATCAACACTTTCTCTCTTTGACTTTTCTCCAGGCTGTGTGCTGATTATTTTATGCAGGCGATACATTTCAAAGTCAGTCCTTTTTAATGATGTTCCCCTGAGTAAATCTGTGACAGGCCATGGTAGCAGCACAATTGACATTTTGTGTGGGTGGGGGTAGCGAGCTGGGGAAGATTTAAGAATTTCTTTTGTGTTGCTGGACAGGGCTTAACCATGTGGTCTGCTGGCTCACAGCCAGCATCTCCACTGTCTGTGGACACGGGACAAATCTGGCTGGACTAAAGCTGGCCGCGAGCTGTGTTATGATACTTCTTTCTCCTGATAGGTACTGACTGTAATTACACTGCCTCTTGTTTTTGGAAGAGAACTACTCAGAAATGTTTAATCATTGTGAAAAACAATAGAAAGTGAATTTGGAGATGAATGAGTGTTATTTGCTTTCACTTCATGCTCTGTAGGTCACACTCTGTTTTGTGCACTTGTTATTTTATATTCATGACATTCTTCGGTCAGCCATCACCCTAATGGCCACACAAACCCCGGCCTTTTCCAAGTAAAGGCTGAAGCCAGCACAACTGAACAGAGCTGCAAATATCAGCCCAGTCGTCTGTCAGCAGCGCCAGAAACGAGGGCCTTTGTTATTTTAAGTACACATGCTTACAGCAGACTTTCCATCCTGATCTAATGGAATGCATTAACATTTTCCATTGTTGGCTTCACCTGAGCCATTTCTCATAAAATATTCCAAGTGGTACGCGCTTTTAAGAGGACATCTGCCAGAGCCCTCCTGCCAAGAGCTTGGCCAAGATATGTGGGAGCTTGGAAGATGCTCAAAGTGGATTACTACCAAGCAAATATAAACTTTGAGATCACTGCTTTGACTCTTACAAGAAACACCTGTGGATGCGAAGACTGTACACACCCTGATTTCTGCATTTTCTAAATTGTTTAGAGCCAATTTCATTATTTACTTTAGAAAAAAAACCCATAGATGTCAAAACCATATCAGTCCAACATGCTGTTCAGTGCAATTTGAAAAATTAGAAAGGGCTATAAGGTCATAATGGCATTAATATATGCGCAGATCTGAAATATTTTCTTTTTCTCTCTGCTGTCCCCCTCGTGTACAGATAAATCAAATCTTAAAAATCTCCACCTTGAAAGAGGTTATCCAAAAACCACAGTGACCTTTATTTGCTTGGAGATGGGATATTGGCTGATTGACTCATTGATGACATAACATTGTACTGAGTTCAGTCAGGCCATCAAGACATTAAACACCAGGCCCATACCTTTTGATACAGTCAAACATGGGACCACAGAGTCTGCAGATAAACAATGTCAAATGGTGTGCCATGTGTCTACCATTACCAGAGGTAGCACCACCAGCTTTTTGGTTAATAACCACATGTCAATGCTGCCTACCCACTGCTTTGGTCATGTGGTCATATGCCAAGATGGCCTGACACAATAGGTATACAACTTTATTGTCATGTTCTAGATCAAAATGCTGACAAAACGCATCACAGATCAAGATGCCATTTCTCATCATCATGGAGGTAGCTCTGACTAGATGTGGACCGCTGTGCTACAGTTAAGACAACATATGACAGGCTTCCAGACTGCAGTAGTAGAAATAATAATTTGTTTAACCAACAAGTCATTCTGGCTCTGAACTGTAAGCCTGGTGTTTGTAGGAAGATTTCTTTTTCCTTTTTTAAAGCTAATACTCAAACAAGATATAATACTAATAAATAAAAACATGAGTCTCATCTTTCTACCAAATGATAGAGAGATAGAATTAATTGCAACCTCTATAATTGAGACTCCTTGAATAATTGGGGACTTTCAATGAGTGCTCTTCAAAAAGGCAACTTCTTAAAATTTTGTCATATTGGGAATGACACACAAATTGAAACCCACCATTGGCTGCATGTCATCCTTCACTCTCTGTTCCCCATGTTCCTTGTCTCATGAATGTAAAGATGTCCCAAAAATAACCAAAAACTAAAAAATATAGCGTCCAGGCTGAAAAGTTTGTTTATGATCAGTCCATGGCTACAGAACACTTGCAGTTTCTCCTGATTTATCATCTCTTGACTGGAACATTGTTTCAAATAGACACCGCCCAGAAATGATGCTGTTGGGGTACTAGCAGGGCCATATTTTGAGGCACTGGGCCACAGTCCAAGCTGCTGTATTTATGTGTTTCAGGGTAAGAACAGGCTGATGGTTCACTATTTACACCTGAAACAGAGTTGCAAAGACTGCAACATGTCCAGAACCTCATTAATCAGCTTTCACACTTAATCAAGTGTTGAAATCAATCCCTTTAACTGGGCAACTGACATTTTTATGACTTGACATTATCTTTGTTTTCACTCATGGCTGTCAGCCTAATCTAATCAGGCTCTGTCTTTATCTGAATGGATAAGATAAGAGAGACCGTCTCCACTCGATGGCTGCTGCTGAGCCTCCCCTGTGTTCTGTCCGCTGATAAGCTGTTGCATCACCCGAGAGCTTTGAACATCCGCTATTAACCCTCACATAACTGAGCTGCTCACCAAGTGACGTTACCCAGCACACTCTTCAAACATTTGTCTAAACCAGAGCCAAGTGTCGGCACTTTTCTCTGCGTTTGGTATGTGTGGCATAAAGGTTTGGCATGGCAGGAGTCGTCGCTCTCCCAAGATAACTGCATATAGTGGCTCCCTCAGGAGGTGCATGCTGTCAGATGTTTCCCTACACACCCAAAGCTCGTGAGCAAATGTTTGGAGCACCGTCTGAATGGCATGTTTGGCTCCTTTGGGCAAGTCACATATAGTCTGACATTTTACAGCAGAGACAGTAAAAAGGCTCAGGAAACCAGGGTGAACAAACAGGACGTAGCATTTTGGTTGCAAGTCAAAAGTTCCTCTCTTGAGAGACGCCTGAGTGTGAGGGGTCATATGCATAACACATTGAACTGAGCTGCAATTTTGATCCCAAGTTACAGCGTCAAAGCCTGGAGGCATGCCGCAGCTAGAGTGGGTTTGTTTACATTACAGAAAAAAAAGGCATAATCATTTTTTTTTGCAATTACTGGAGTCAACCATGAGCAGATATGTGCCAAAACAGCCCCTCCATGGGATCAAGTCAAAGCAGCACATGGCCCTCACTGTGGAATGACCCGAAACAGCTGAGCAGGCGTGGGTGGGTAGGTGGTGGTGTTTTGAGCTGCGTCGCAGGCGTAACCATAAATATCTGCTGTGTCCCTCCCAAACCTGGCTGTGTGTGTTAGCAAATGCAGCATTCCTAACAGAAAACACATGGACGCTTCTCCTCATATGTGCACTGACTAACAATCAGAACCACCTGTTTCCACCGAGAGATAAAAGACAGCGCTGTTGATGAGCTGGCTGGGGTCAGAGCAGAAAGGGAAGAGTCATGAAGAAAGATCAGCAGTGTTCACAACACAGGCTGGGTGTAACGCTATGTCTCCAGAGACAGAAATCCATTTTAACTCCACATAGAGGAGGATTCAGACCTCATTTTCTCTCGTTTCCACATCCACAGGCTGAGGCAAAACAATAACAAGAACTTGCTCACGCTCCAGAAATGGCCACAGCTTGTACGTGCTTCAAATGTCAATAAGACTAGCATGTGAAAAAAGCACCGGCCATAAAGTAAAACCGGCCTGCAGGTGGCATGTAGTCGCCAAAATCTCCATATGAAAATATTCCTGTGGCCTCGGTGTGGAGCGGGAATGTTTCTACTTGAAGGGCGTATCAGTTGTACAATCTCAGGCTTAGACAAGAGAAGGATTTATGAGAAAAAGAGGGTAATTGTTGCGTGTTTGGAGTAATGAGCTTTCGGAAAGGATGGCTAAGTGATTGTTTGTTTTGACAGGACATTATTATTGGATGTTTAGACTGCTTTAGAGCAACAGGATAATCTCAAGACGCCTATGTGCCGGCTGTCCGAGCGAAGGGCAGCAAAAGAGAGGTTTCCTGTTTGATGATCTTTATCTGTGATCACATGGTCCCTGGAGGGAAGGAGGCAGTCCTCCTGCTCATGTGTTCGCTGGACACTGACGGAGTGCATCAATAGGTCAAAAGAGACTGCCATCGATCAAACATGGGGATGCTGTCAGCTTACTGAAATAATGAGGGGTTTCATTAACGTCACAGCAGAGGCAGTGAACTACATGTGGCTGTCGCTCTGAAAGGAAAGAGCTGGAGGCTGCGCTCCCACTGAGAGTCATAACCAGATAATCGCTCCAGATTCATCTTTTGTTTACCAGGCTGTAACAAAAGGGCAATTACCGTCTAAAAATATCCACGAGGCAGAATCATCTGACGACCTCAGGTGTTTGATCACAGCCCATCCCGACCATCAGGTCCACCATAAACAACATACATTAGATAATGATGGCGGACAAAACATACACAAACTTATAGATTGTGTCCTATTATATATTGTCTATTATTTTAAAGCTCCATCAAATGACTTAGTTCAGAATGAAAAATGAAAACCTCATCCCAGTGCAGGCTGTGGGAGATTTTTGTTTGCATGAGTTTATTGAGATTGACATCAAACCAATATAGCTCTAACCTTAAGTCTATCTGCAAAGTGGGGCTAAAGCCTCAGTTTGCTAGTTTTTGTCTTTGCTTTCCACTGAGGATGCACAGATTTGCTGGTTTCATCAATAACCAGCTACTGGGGCTACAACTGATACTGTTTTCTCAGGGCTGATTCTTCAACTGAGTTTTGTAGTGCATGAGATCAATAACCAATATTTGCAATGGAAATACATTAATTCCTTACCAATACATCTGAAACGTGTCACTTGCTGAGATAACCATGGACATTAGGGGTTCTATTTTCGTGCCTCCCTGGAGACGTGCCGCAGGCGCGGCGTAAGTCAGGTCCGCCGTGCCGACAAGGCGTTCCCAAGCACAATTTGGTATTTTGGTGAGTGGCGTAGCCCGGCGTAAGTATCCCCCCTCCCTAACTCAGCTCCTCTCAGCGGCGTAAGTCGTAGCGAGGGCGTGGAGTGGATTTAACACAGCCGAGACCAATAAAACCAATAAAATAAAATAAAATAAAATCAGCTCCTCTCCTCGCCTTTAAATCCGCCACCGGTGAGGCGCATTACTATTTTCGTGAAGTAGTCAAAGAGATCAGGAGATAACTGAAGACAGCAATGCCACACGATGGCGACAGAAGGCAGCTCCTCAACAAGTGTCGCTGCAGAGGGCGTCCTTCACACTCTCTCATATGAGCACAGATGGATTTGGTGTGTGTAATGCTGGAGCCACTAGTAAGACAAACACCCTTTCCACAAATAAAGACACTCACATAAAGTTGCATATATTCAAACCTCACGTGACAAAGGTGGGTTGTGCGCACAGATCACAACAAAAATTCCAAAAATGGCATTAAAATCTGAACCAGCTGTGCGTGATGACGCATCGCGCTCCGTGGCCTGGCTCTTTCTTTCATACGTGTTGGTATATAAAATAAATTTGGCTCACAAAACTGAATATTATCATATTCGTATGTAGGCTTGAAGTAAATAACTCATCTGATCACTGAAACAGATCATCTGTTCAGCCGCCACAGCAGCAGCAGGAAGGGGAGAGGACACGGGGACATGTCCAGGTCGAGCTGCGCGAGAAATAAGAGGAAGAGGAAGAAAGAAAAGGAGGGAGACGAATTACATATCTTGTTAACTTCATCATGTGTGTCTATTTACTAGATATTTAATTTAATTTAATGCGGTTTCAGCTGTGTTGATTTGGTCAGGTTGTGTGTCCAAATGCGTGCCAAACGCGCTCATCAGATCAGATATAGATCAGAATATATCAATATAGATCTAAATGTATGTGCTGACTCAGAATATTGGTTGTTGTTGATTATTTATTGCGCTGAAATGTGCCTGACACTGTGGGAACCTGCCGGTGAGGCATTGGTGACATATGCCGATACGCCGCCGGTCTACCAAAATACCACTAGACCAGCGTTTTGCCTGCACTGAAAGCTGACCAGGTTTGAATCGGCAAGCTTTCAGCACACTTTACACGCCGGATGACCTTTAAGCTTAGGTAGTCTAGAGTCTGGAAAATACAGTATTTTTAAATTCAAGAAATGACATGACAATAAAGCACAATCAACTTTCTATTTCAGATTTGTAAGGTATTGCAGCCCAGCATGCTGAACTCAGTTGACTTTGGGGCTTTGAAGGACTAATAATGAGAGAAGCAGCTGCAGGTGAGCTGTAGTACCTTAGTATGAAACTAAAATATTAAAATCAACTTTTCAGGTTGCCGGTGTGTGGCTAAAAGCTTTGCTGCAGCATTTTGAATCAGTCGGGCACAGAAGAGAGGCTTTTATGTTCCTGTGGAGTTGGCAGAGTTTCAGTAATAAAAAGATATAATCAGGGAGACCTCGGGATGGGTAGAATAAAAACAACTGAAGCAAAACATTTTTGACAAGAGGAAATATGACTGCATAATCTTAATGACCTGCTTGAAGAAATCATGGTTTTTTTTGGAGTTTGTATTTTGACACATGGCTATGTAGTGATTTTGTGGAACATCCTGTGGGAAGAGGGGTGTCCTCTAAAGAGGAATACCTGTGTTTGTGAGCGAATCAAAGCTGTGTGCTTGTTAGTTATTTTTAACACAGGAACCCTCTCTGTTAATTAGGAGCAGTTGTGCTGGAAGCTCATTTCCTTTTCTCACATCTGGTGGCCTTTAATTAGTCAGTTTCCACATCTCCACCCACCACCTTCGGGTTCACATCAGGCCTGATAAGAGCTAACGTGGAGATGGTGGAGGGTGTCAGGACTCCTGTAACATGTGCCTAATCAAACTGAAAACAAAAAGTGTGACCCCCTGAAAGATTTTTTCGTTAGTGGTCATGTTCGCAGGCTGTTTCCCCCGAGCAGGCATGTTAGAGCCTGATATGTAACAATGACCAGAAATGTAACAATGACTCGATATAAAATAAAACCCAAAATGTAATAACTGACCAAAAATGGAACAAGTTTCTACGTTTTGGGCAAAAAGTTATGAAGTTTTGGGCTCAGAATCGTGTGACATTATTGACCAGTTGGTACATTTCAGGCTTTGTTATATATATTTTTAAAATAAATGTTGGGTCATTGTTACATAGGCTCTAACAAGGCTTTAGTCCTCAGCTTGAGAGGTTGCAAGCTGAGCTGTAATAAGCTTTTTGTAGTTTAGAGTTACATCATTGTCAAAAGGATTTTTCTGGTAGATGAATCAAGTCAGAAAAATTACAGCGAAAAACAGTCATCAAAGTGGTTTAACGGGAAATCTGTGTTTGCATAATGAGGCTTCGGGGCTGCTAACTGAGCTACTGCTAATTTCAGTTTGCCAGGTTTCATTTTGTTGAGTTATGGGGTTGAAACAGTATTTCACTTCTCTAACCATGAGAAAATAGGGTTCCAATTTAGGCTGTCTGACACTCTCCACACTCTCTCTTAACATTCAGCCATTGGTTAATAAATATTTTTTAATTCCAAGCTCTGATTTTTTAAATTTATATTTGTGATAAATAGTGTGCCATGGACTTGTAATCAAGGTTTTGTTGCATCTTCAGATTTAAATATTGTTATTGTAACATCAATAAAAGTTACAGCACTCAGACCAAGTCCAAGCCAACAGCTTGAAGAAAACCCTAATGAACAAACAGTCTTCAGGATTAAAATATGACACTTACATAGGCCAATATAAGAGTAGCTAAACTTTGAAAGTAGCTTGTATTTTGTCTTATACAACAATATACGAATGGAAATATTTTTTGAACACAATCAGTTTGCAGGGACACCAGATGCCAGGTACTGGACCTGACGTGACTTACTGTGACATCCTTTCAAGGGGGGGAGCTGCACAAAATGTGCTCAAAACAGCCCATCACACAAATGATTGATGGAGTTTGGTCAGCGAGCAAAACCTGGACCTTGATGTCCTCAACTTAAAAATAAATAAAATGAGGAAATTATTTATTACATGCTGGCAGGCTCTGTATTTTCAAACTCAGCGAGCGCTGGCTGGAGCTCAGAATGACAACCAAGTTCTTGCAACCATCTTGCTAATTGAAAAGGACAAACTAATCATGTTCTTAGTGGGTAGAAATCCATGTCTGAGATTGATTTTAGACTTCATCTCTTTTAAGAGGGACTCAGTAACTCAGTACTCAGCAGGGCCATCTGCAAAAAGAGAGAGAGAGAGAGGATTTTAGAGCGCTCGAGGTGAGGCATGACACAGAAATCTTGGTGGTTATCCAAATGAGTTATAGTGGTGATTAACTCTGTATGTGTGTGTGTGTGTGTAACAATAGTGATGCAATGTTTTTGTGTGTTTGTATTAAATTATGCTGCCTTTGAATTGGTCTTGTGGTGTTATCATGTCAGCAGAACTATTGAGGTTCAATGAGGAGAAAGAAGTATCAGATTTTCTCCCGTCGTTCTCAACACCTTCTCCAGTTCTTCTTAAAATACAGCTGCTGACTGCAAATAAATCACAAATTAGATTTAGGTTTCAATTAGTTTACTTAAAATGCCTTTGGGTGGATTCAAGTCAATGCAAAACTCATGTTAGTGCAAAGTGAATCTTTAAGGTAGGATAAACTGTTTCGATAATTGCAATGTTTTTGCATAAGTTTACATAGACTTCTCACAACACATCCTTCACAACACCTTAATGGACCAAAGGGCCAATGGTGGTGGACGGCTCCTCTTTCTTCGCTGCGGGACAGAAAGATTCAGACGATCTTTTGTACCAACAGCCATCAGACTTTATAACTCTTCTGTAAATAGTAGATGACTTTTAGAGACATGACAAATGAGACGACAGACAATTGGATTTCCCTATGGGGATTAATAAAGTTCTTATTATTCTTATTCTAATTCAAACTTCATGTACAAAATCGAATACCATACTAACCTAAATATAGGACAACACTGATCTGAACACAGCCCATCTTTTGAGACAGATTTTTGAGAAAAGACCAAATTTGACGTAAAAATCTTTTGTATTTTGCAACGTTTAAACCATGTATTTTTCAGCCGTTGTAAGTAAGCTTGTCCTACTTTTGTGCTGCTTTTTTTTAAAGTATCTTAATAAGGATGTTAAGAGTTCTTGGCTGAATAATGGTAAGGTAAAAATCTGTTATCATGACAGCCCTGTACAGGTGGTATCATCAGTGTTTCAGTAGACACGAGTTTCTAGATATTACGCTAAAACTAATAGCAAGTGTTGATGAGAGTTTTAGTGTATCCATCCCTGGTTTAAGACTAAGAGGATGTTTTGAAACCAAACACAAGTGCGTTTTGTTTTCTTTTATATCTGTCAGGCCATGTGTGGCTTGGATTCAACCAATACAAATCACAAATTATCCTGCAGTCACATGCAGCAAAATTAACAATAAAGGAACTAATAAAGAAATATCTTATCTTTAAATGGCTACGTGGCACTTTGACGTGCTTCATTGTCTAAAAGAGAATTGTATGTTAAAGTTTATTACCATCCCATGTGAATGAAACTGCAGCCAGTTAGCTTGCCGCAAAGATTGGACATCAAGTACAGAATTAATCTAAAGCTGAATGATAGAGTAGTTTGATTACTCAATTTTTACTTGTGGTTAAAGGACAATTTATTGTCACTTGGAAACCATATCATCTGTGCAGGCAGAAAATAATAACCTCTTGATATAAAAAAAAAAAAAAAGAAAAAGTCGAAAGTTTGGGTCAACTCAAACCATCTTATTGTTTTGTAGTTTGTGAACTTTAGTGACATGAACTAACTATAAACTGCAGGCGATGTCCTGAAGTTTTTAGTGCACGTGTTGTGTTGTTTACTTGATGTGGATGTTTACTTCATTTTATCAAGTTCCAGCACGCTGTATGTAGAGTGTGATACTGCCTTTGGATACTGCCTCAGTCAAATTTTTTTAATAATTATTCAAGAGTAAAAAAAAAATGATATTCTTAATTTAACTTGGGGTTAGTTTATAGAGTATCGCTTGTCTGGAGCAGTCACCTCCTAGAGCCAGCTCTAGTTACCCAGTAAATCCAGAGACAGCTTCAAGCCAGGTTTCCAGACCTGATGCTAAGCTAAGCTCCTTGATGCAGCTCAACTCTACCCTTACCCCCCCATTTTTTTTTTTTTTTTAACTGTTCCTTTAAACTCATAAATGTGACTTAGCACACACAGACACACAGCTCAAGTCTTTGTTATGCAGAGTCTAAAAGCTGCATTGTTGCCTGATCAATAGCCTATCTGGTGTAAAAAGCCCACCAGCGCTGTCAGAGTGCATTCAGTTGAGTGGACAGATAGTGCTGACAGATTGTAACCAGACCATCAGACCATATGGTATGAGGGATATCCCTTCTGGGCTCCTTAGTAGCAGAAATGTTGGGATTGGACTGGAATTGATAGTGCTGTTTCGCTGTTTTAGAGCTTGCCAAAATAACTTTTGGTAGTGAGTAATTGAAGTAGGATTGATCTGGATTATTGATCTCTAACACCAGTGGCTTTTACTGTGGGTCAAATGGTGAAAAAATCCAAACGAGATGATGATGTAGGCCGTCCTCCCCCAGTGGGTGGACTGATATATAAGCTTAACTGTCCTGGCTTTCTTCATGTGTTGGTGGATGGAGCAGGAATAAATAGTTAAAGAGAGCTGAACTGGTTGATATCTTTTCTTAATGGGATTCCTTTATTCTGTCAGAAATGATTACATATGTCCTGTACCGTCCATGCTTTTTAGGCTCGGCTGTGAATTACGTGAGTAGGGGGAGCTCAGCATACACAGCGCTGTTGCCACATGTGTGTGAGGGCATACTGTGGCTAAGTAAGTGCTTCAGATATTTGTCAGGATGCCAGACATTCACAGCGAGTTTGTAACATGGTTGCTCGCCGCTGTCTGAGCTGCACTAAGAGAGCGGATCTGAATGTGGGTCTGCTCGGTTTCTGTGTCATAGAAAGCAAAAATAGGGAAGAGGAGAGGCAGTAATTTGGGTGGATTTCAGTGTGACTCAATGATTTGTCAGGCATTTGTCAGCATTGTAACAGGTCATCCAAAATGTTCGGGCGGCAGCCTTAAAGCTGATTACAGATTGAAGAATTAGGATACTGTATGTCTGTCCTTTAATTTTAGCACCACGACCCTCAAGAAACTATCACACAAACACCATCCACCAGACAGGGATACAAAGGGGATTGCCTATTCCTGGAAAACACAGATTCTTGTACACAAGGGATAAAAAGTAAATAAAATCTCAAGAATAACCCATTATCTGTCTTTGGTGTCATTTGTGTTTGCATGATCATGTTATGTAATTTGTTGTTTAAAACATGGTGACAGCACGCTCTCACCAATGATGATCGTTTTTGGCATAATCCGGATATAATTGATCTGGAATAAACCATTATAGCCAAAGGGCAGATTACATAACATTTAGGCTGGGCAGATTTAAGGAATATGTCCAAGAAATTATATCACAATAAGCAGAAATACTAAAATAGGCACTGTTTTTATTTTATTGAAGATTATCAAAGCACCTTATCTGCCCCTTTCAGGGCATGTGTGTTTATTGTACAAGAAAAAGGCGGGACACTGTGTGTAGTGGGGACAAATACAGAATTTGATGGTTTGCGAGGCATAGTGGGCCGTGACTAGGGATGCGCAAAATTATCAGCATGATAGCAGTATCAGCAGATGACCTGCAGATATAATTATCAGCCCAAAAGGTGATGCATCAATTATACTAAGCCATGACAGTGTGCACATGTTGGCTTTGTGGAAGTGTTTGGCAGTGTTGGAAACAGACCGCAGACAGGTAACACTTAAACCCACCATGTAAAATTTTGTGAATAAGTGAACACGATGCCTGGTGACCTCAAACCAAAATTTCGCATACCCTGGCCACTCATACCTCTGCCAGTGCTCCAGATGTACCACCCCGGTCAAAGAGCCTGGACACACCCCTTTATGGCAGCACAGAGTAAACAGAAGGATCAGAGTGCTTTTTTGTTTGCTCAACAAAGACTTAAGAAGCGATTTCTCTGCTGATTTTAAAAGAGTGAAAGAAAACTTTGCTGAACTTCAACTTTTATCCCTGAAAGAAAGCAAAAAGGTGACCCCTGTACTGGCTGGATTAGCATTCAGCTGTGACATAAAACGCACCTTATAAAGATTCACAAATAACTCATTCAGTGCACAGACAAAACGGGCACTTCGTACCAATTTTACTCGAAAAATGTATTTTATTTCAACTACATTTGTGCCTTTAAAAGGCTTTCTATTTTTGTGTACATGTAGCACACCTTTTCACTTTGATCAAGTTGAAAGACCTTTGACAGCTGTATAATTTCATTATATATTGACCCCTTTTGCTGCTGTTTGAGCTTGTCTAGGTGTACCTTTGAATATTGTCAAAGCCATACTTTGGCAAATGTGAATTAGCAATTAAATTTTTTATTATGAATGGAGTTATTTTACTAAAAAAACCTTGTAATATGTCTTATGCTACACTGAATGAGTTGTCTATTACCTTTGTAAGTGGATAAAGTTGTGAGTGCTTTATTGTGTTATGGAACCCAGAATTCAAAACATGCTCTTTTGAGTCTCACATGAAGGTGTTATATTTTAAAAATCTTTCCTTCGTCACAGCTTATAACACTTAATTAACCTTTATATACGTTCTTTAATATACTTGTTTTCACTGACAGGCACACCGATTAAGCCTTAGGAATGCATATGAGGCTTTATAAATGTTACATTAATGTGTTATAAGAGGTGGGTTTATAAATCAAATGTTGTTTGTCTTGTTTGTGTCTGGTTCTAAAGGGAATAGACTGACACAATAAGATTAACACGTAGATTAACACGTATCTATCAATAAAGGATCCATACCTTTCTGAAAGAGACCGTTTGAGCCAAAAAATAGTTTTAGTTTAAAATGACAGAACCTGTAAAGCTCTCAGCCACTGTACATGATATCATTAAAGACTCAGAGAATCTGGAGAAATAACAGCTGAAAACCAATACTGAAAGCCTGTGATCCTTAGTCTTTGGAGCGGCACTACATTAAAATAGGTAGGCATGACTCTGTAGTGTAGATCACTGCCTAAGCCCACAAGGACAAATTATTGAGCTGGAGTTGTTGTTTTACTTAAAGCGACAACACCTCCTTAAGAGAAATGCTAATTCTGTAGCAGAGTGAAAAGGCTTTACTTTTCAACGTTAATACCGTATGCAGGCCTAAACCGAGTCAAATGATGGAAAATAGACAAAGAAAGTAAGAAATTACAGCGATAAAGATGGTGAGCTGGTGAACAATGCAAAGCCCATTTGTGTTCAGGGATTTCCCGGTAAGATTGTAATTAAACTAAATCGCCAGTTTCTCAGCATTAAACCTCATATCCTGTAGAAGAGCAGTCATTTCCAAAATGAGCATGTTATCTACTCAGCCATTTCCTTTCACCAGCCTGCCCCACTTTCACAGTCAGATTAATATATTTATACAATGGTCATTACCAGAGCTTAAAAGGTTACCTTAAAAGAACCCATCAGGGACAAGGAGGTTCTTCAGAGAGCCACAGTAATCACGTAGAATTATTATATGGGATTTTCAAAGACTTAAAAGTGGTCTTGTGTATAAGAAATGGAAAAACTTAAGCCCATAATGGAGTCACAGATAGTTTGAGAGTCAGGGTGGATGTTTAAGTTAAAACACAAACCAATCTCTCTGTGCTGTAAGAGGACAATAGTATGGACAAAAACTTTGGCATATCTCTTTTAACTCTCTGAAACTACGAAGAAAGGACAAGAAGAGGGAATGAAGACTCATTTAAACAGAAACTCTGGTGGTTGGTTTCTGAATGATGCCATTGTTTTTAAGCGCGTGTAAGAGCCGAAGGCTTGTATCAGTTTTAGCAGCACTAATGGAAACTCATCCTGGTTCTTTCGCTAGTCAGTTGTAGTGGTAGCTGTGAGTTTACAGTAGGCATTCTGATTGAAACTGTAAAGAAAGCATACAATCCAAGATTTTTATGAACTTAAAAATATTCATTTTTGAGGGATGCAAATATGATGTTTCCCCAGACCCACTTTTTGGCTTTCTTCGTCATTGCCCAGGTTATCAGGCACATTTACCATTAACAACAGACATCAGTAAGCTCTTTTATATACTGGATTTATAATCTTAGTGTTAGACAGAAACTGGACTGTTTTCTCTGTCATGTATACAGCTCTGTCACACTGAAACTGGCCCAAGCACTCTGTATCCATGTGTCCACACACCAAGGTTTGAGCCTGAAGTCAAACAGCATGAATGTGTTGCTCGGAAGCAAAGTTGTAAACAAACAAAACCTCAACAAAGAAAAGACGTGAAAAAGACAAAACTTTTCTATCCGTCAGACAAACAGTTCAGACCTGGAGAAGTGACAGTGTTTTTATCCATTGACGTACATCCTGTTAGCCTTTTGCTAACACGTTTTGATACGTTATACATCATCCAAGAGATGACCTAATAATAACAAGCTTAAAGGAAGAATGCTCCCACCCACTGTAGCCGAGGCAGACATGCTCTTGTCAATAGTTTGATTGTTGTTTGGTGCATGTATACTGGAACAGGGACAGTAGTCCAGTTAAATCACCTAATCAAGCTGTAACCTTAACTCCAGTTATCTGTGCATGTAAACGTTCTGCATGCCAACCTGCTGCACTGAGATGAAGAGTGAAAAAAAAAAAACTCTGTTAATATGATAATGTATCAGTGTTTCTAGACATGCCAGGCTGTAAAGCTGTCAAACATTTCACTGTATGCTTTATTTGTTGATATAATGCTCATGTCACACTGTAAAATCCCTTGAGTCATAGAGAAAATACTTAGTTTTCATTATTTCCATGTTTATTTCCAGCAAAAGCAGCGGAGTCTTTCACCGTCTCTCATTGCAGTGAAATTTTCCTTTAAGAGTCATTCTGATGAACTTCTAAAGGACTATTGTCGACTTGAAGTGGTTTCCTTATCTCCTGCTTGTTCGTGAGTCACCCTTTTACTGCCTTACGAGGACACAAGTTAAAGTTTGGCGAAGTTTCCTTTCATTCTGTAAAAATCAGCAGAGAAATGTTTTCCAGCTGCTCCTGTTGGGCAAACTTGACAGTCTGACTGCATTCAGATCTCAGATAGGGTGTCACATCAAGACAGATAAAGTAATCGTTTATCACTATCCCAAGAGGAAGGGTTATATTGATTCAGAAATAAAGTTGAAAATACTTTCAATGGAAAAAAAAAAGCTTATTAATAGATTACTGGATAGACCGCCGGAGTAATTACTAAAATACTTGATTACACAAACCAGCCTTGTAAATTATTTTTCTACCTCATAGAAAACACACATCCTGTTGATCTCTTTTTGTTGAGGTGCTTAACTAATTTCTTGTTCTGTTGCAGTTTTCTCTCTCATATACTGAAACAGTCACTTTTTTTCAGTTCTGTTCCTTAATCCGAGAATACAGAGAGCACAGCTGTGTGCTTTGTAAAATATTCAACATACGAAAGCAAAGAGCCAACAAATAATTTATTAAGAAAATAAAACAACTAGAGAAAACACGAGAACAAAAGCCATTTAGTCAGCAGGAGTGGAGTTTACAGTGTGCACAGGAGGCCTCAGAGTGTAAGTGTGTGGGTTATGAGCAAATATTGAAACATAACAACAGACCACCAACCCTACACCCTCCCCACTCCACCCTGAAGTTGAACCCCAGGCTCCCTTACAGACATCAATTCTGGTTCGATCTGGTTTGAGCAAGAACAATAATCTTATGGTTTCATGACCACACATTCAGAAGGAATCTGTGTCTCTGTGCTGACGAGCATCTCTGCTCAGCCTCCGTCCAAGCCAGCGATCACAGTAATGAAACTCCCTCCTGCACCCCCCGCCCGACCCTCTGTCTTCCCTTGCCTAGCTAAGGAGCACTCATGCAGAACTGAGCGACTGTACGGTTTTGTCTCAGATCATCAGCGCTCCAGAAGATCATCAGTGTTCACATATGTGGGCGGCTTCCTTTGGGGCAGTTGTTAGCGTGGTTCAGTGAGGAGCTGAGCTCTGCAGTGAGGGATGAGCTCTGCAGACTGCTGTGATGTGCTGGTATCCAACATAAAGGTCCCAGTCACATCTGAGGATAGCAGTCCTCATGAAGAGGACTTAAGCACTTGTGGCTACTTTTGCTGTTGTCCTTTAGTGTTAGAGGCATACGTTTAACTAGATTGAGCTGGCTCCACGCCCGGTGCTGGTAGTCATGTCTTATCATGACTGGGCCTGCTGTGCAGTCCGGATGTTTCTGACTGAGGGCGGCAGGCAAACTGGAGTTTCTGTTTTAAAGGATATTCTTCATACTGTGACTAACATTTGCTTGTTAGCTAAACTGTCAACCCTAAGAAGACCTCCAACAGGCAGCTGCATAAAATAATTCATTTATATTATCCCGCTTGAAGTAATCCAGAGTTAAATTCATAACCGGTCCAGCCTTTACTCTGGCCGCAGGGGACGGTACAACTTCTGCCTTTCATATTTTCTGTTTAATATTCCCTCAGTAATGTGTTACGCATGTGGTGTAAAACATGGAAACAACCTGCCAGCAGCTCTGAATTGACCACAGGAGATCCTTGTTTGCATAATTTTGTTTAAACTGATCTCATATTAAAACAATAAAGAGCAAGAGCATCCTTTCACAAAACTAAAACAGCCTCTGGGCTGTACAGATTTTGATGATATGAGTCATTTCAAGATACTACAAAGGCCAGTATGACAAAAAGCAAGTACACTGATGTAGACACTGTATTTCTCAGTTTCACCTGACATAAAAAAAATTTTAAAAAGCTGAATTAACAAGAGTTACAGGAATCATTGTGTGCATAATCCTCTCAGAGCTTGGGGATCAAGCCTTTTTTTTATTTATTCACAGTCGGGGTTGAGGACCAATTTAAAATGATTACAAAAATTTCAAGGTAGAGTTGCTCGATTGTGGACGAAATCATAATCACAGTTATTTTTTATTGATATCGAGATTGTGATGACTTGTTTTCTCCTTCTCCTGCTCCTCTCCCTGCTCTCCTCTCCTCACCTGTTGCTACCTGGTATTTTGTTCTGCTGTAGCTCATGTTAAAGACACAGCAGTTCATACTCTAATCCTAGACTTCCTTGCACTCAAACTTTGTTGCGCAGCGATCTAAACTCATGATGATGACATGAAAGTTAGAGCAGTTTGGGAGGGTGGGGGTAGAATACACACTCTGCTGTTTTGGAGAAAAGGAGGGGTGCACTTCAAAAAAAAAAGACATGCAAAACACAATATATTCATTTTCAATAATCATGGTTTTATGAGCACTTCATGACACATAAAACCATCAATACCATATTTCTGCCTTAGATGGTATAGTTAGTGGTGGTTGACTGGTGACAGTGTACAGCTGTTAGTACTTTTTCAGGGGTGTAAGAGCTTATGGTTGAGTATTCCTGCTCTCAGCTGAGTGACTCCACATTGATGCTGTACAGGACACAGGAAGTTTGTCTGATTTAGGCAGTCAGACGTAGAAGGAGAGGCAAACTCATTGATTTGGTTTCCCTCTTGAATCGAGTGCCAGATGTGTGCAGGTTTTGTTTGGGAATATGCATGTAAACACCAGAAAGTGCATCATAATCCGCTTAGTGAAATATTCCCTTATTCAAGATTCAATTGAACGATGTTTGGGTATTTTTGTTTGTGTGTGTGTGTGTTTGTGTGCTGAATCAAAGTCTGTCTTCAGTACTTTCTATGGAGTGAGCACATGTATGCCTCATTCACAGACAGACTTACAGAGACAGCAGGTGAGTGGGGTTTCCAGCTGCCCTCTAATCTTACCCTGAAAAAACACTGGGTCATTGTTTCCCACACTGTAGTTTTGACTGTAACGGTGAACTGCACACCTTTCCGCCTTGTGTGACTGCACACGGGGTGGCATGGCTGACGTAGGAGGCAGAATGGGAGGCATGAAGAGAGCTGTCTGATGCCTTTGCTCTGGTATTTCCCACGGAAACCCATCAAGGATTCCTCTCCGAGCAGGTGATGGGAGTGCGGCTCCAGCGGGGGTAAGGAGAAGGGGGAGGAGAGGGAGTTGGTGGGTCAGCAGTAGGAGCCTCAGATGGTTTCCCTGCCCAGCTGTTGTTTAAGCAGCATTCCCTCCCCCGTTGCTCAGCCTGCCTGTGCAAACTATTTGAGTCCAAAGGATGCCTTTCTGCACATTTGCTGTCTGAGGGGGCTGGTCCTCGGCAAATTCCTTCTTAGGAAATCCCACACTTTGATGTCTCAATATTTATTTATTTATTTATTTTTTTGTCATGGTAGCACATGGTGTTCGTAAACAACTGTCACTTTAAATGAGCAACACTGATGATTTATTGTCCATTTATGAGTTTTGCTAAATGAAATTTGGAAATCCTCACACAGCATGTGGCTCATGAGACGAGGCGTCTCCACCCCTTTAAATGCAGTTATTTTAGACTGGAATAAACACATTTCAAAACACCAAGTTGAATGGCTATGAACAGGACTTTGCTCTAGTGTTCACCTCAGGATTGGTTTTCTTTCAGACAATACCGATCATAAGTGGTTAGCTAGACTAATAACTAATTTATGAGACCGATGCATTTATTGTAAAAAAAGATTTATTTTGGTTAAATTAATAATGTGAGTTTTTGTCTCTGAAACCATATTTTGATAGCTGGTGTTTACTTTAAGAGTGGGCTGGTTACTAATCACCAGTGGCTCCGTGATACGATACAATCACGATACTTGGGCCACGATACAATATTATTGTTATTTTTAACATTTTGCAATACAGTGAGTATTGCAGTACAATATTGTGATCGATACAATTTTTTCAACTGTCAAGCTAATTTAGCATTTGTCTTTCCTTTATGTTTGTCTTATTTACACAGTATTTTATTTTCATGTAGCTCAGATTGCAAACCTCATGTGTCAAGTCCATCTCATTTGAGCCCTGTTTGCTTTCCTAATGTCTTTCCCCAGGTGCTGCTATATTTGTTGCACTAACTTTCTCCTGCTCTATGATGTCACCTCTTCCAGCCTCACCTGACAAACTGCTGACTTAATCTTTGCACTATCATAGATATGACTTCATATTATTAACAATTAAATTGAAAAAATTGTTACTCGGTCTATCGCGATACTCTGCTGTACGGATTTTTTCTCCCACCCCTACTGATTACCGGTCTTGGTTACCTTTTATGTGACACCTTAATTTTGATGTTTCCTTGTGTCACAGGGTTGGTGATGATTTCACAGCATACTTAATCCATAAAAGCTGGTACTCCGTTTTCATTGTACTGTAAGCTGAAATGTTCCCAAAGAAGCAAAGTTGAAAAAAACTTAAGAGCTCTTTTTTTGGATCTAGTGCAACTAGCTCCCTTCAGGTGATCATCTCCAACAGATGTCTGCTTATTTTTACTGCTTTTGAAGTAGTCAAAAGTCTGATAACCTGTTTGAAATCCAGGTTTTAAAAGTCATACTTTATTCAGTTCCACAGGTGTGTATATTTATATGCTTTAATTTGAAGTTCGTGTGGAGCGACAAAGTGTTGGCCAGTGTTGAGCAAATAGGATAACTCAGTTTCATGTTGGTCAAAGTTCAATTAGACCATGAACATCAGACATCTCTTCAAAAACAAACGGAGGAGAAAGTTATATAGTCCTCCTGCCATCACTTTCCTTGAGATTTGTGTTTAAATGAGTGGAGGGTCATAAAGTGACCCCAGACCCACTCACCCCCCCCAACCCCCCCGCCGCCTGTCAAAACTAGCCTCACCTGTGACCAGTCGTCCCCATGTGGTCGCACTGTTCAGCTGACCTCCTCTTCATGCACTCAGTATAAGTGCTTAGTAAGGAGCAGTGAAACAGTCAGAAGTGCTTCCCACAGCAGTATACAACAAGCAGGCCAGTTGTTAGTGTTTGCAAAGGGCTGCCTAAAGGAAATCCTTGTAGAAGAGTAAATCTTTACAGCAGTAACATGTTTGACCCCTGACTCTTTGCTCCTGGTGTTGATTGACTTTAGTTTTTTCTCTCTTGCAGACTCAGCAGACCCTCCCCTCACTCGGGGACTGTAAATATTAAAATGTTTGCAAGATTCAGATGCTGAGCACACTTCTCTGAAAGTCTGTTTCTTATTGTTTTCCCATACACTGTGGCTGGAATCTGTTAGCAGAGATTGATTTATCATTTAGACGCCTCAGTCATGATGTACTGTTGTTACACAGTTCATCAGCTTTTACTGCACCCACTGTCACTGATCTGGGTCGAAGAAAACAGTCAAGTAAATACCATGTAAATGCAGCTCAGAGACTCTTCTTCATCAAGCAGCTTGTATTAAAGCTCATTATGACCCAAAATCACGTTAAAAGTTAGGCTGGAAACAAGTGCTAAAAAAGGAGCAAGTCAGGTATTAGGTTTTATTATTTTAATTTTTAACAAGATTTCAAGATTTAATCAAACCATAAGAAAAATAAAAATATTTCACCCCAACAAAGAAAAACAAAACAAAACCAAGAATAAAAGCTTTTTTTTTTTTTTTTTAACAAATCTTTAACCAAAAAAATCAGTTTGCATTTCAGTGATGAACCTGCTGTAGTGCTAGTGAGAACAAATAAGTGCACCAGAAAAGAGTGAGGTGTGTCTTATTTCTCAAGGCCCAACAGTCACCAAACCAACAACAGAAGGAGAGGTTAGTACATTCGCTGTGAGAACAGGTCTTCACCTGCTCGAGGTCCTTCACTGCCACAGCCTTCAAAATGCTGAGGCATCAGTTTTCATTTACACTGGTCTGTTGTTCAACGGTGTGATGACAACTGTGTGGAAGTGCAACTTGTTACCAACACAGGGCAAAAGAGACTACTACTACTAAAAAGACTAGAGCTGTTTATTGAACCTCAAAACACTGGATTTTGACCTTGGAGGGAGCATGGCTGCAGGATTATGGCAAAAATGATTATCACAGTCATTGAATTTGCCAGATTATCTAAACTGGTGCTGTATTTCACAGATGGCTGATAAAATGAGTCAATTTAAAAGTGTCCCAAAGTCAACACTTTTCCCTACTGGAACTTTTAGAGATGTTTCCTCATTTTCCTCAAGCCTTGTCAACATGCAGATCACCAGCACAGCATCTTAAAACACAAGATGTGTTATGTGTGTACTCTATGTGCATAACATACAGCAGGCAATAGAGATAGACCGATTCATTGGTCGGTTGGTCAATGACATTTCTTTTCCATAGCCAATGATAGTAAGTCAAATCCAAACAGTCAATGGTTGTTGTTTAATATTAAGTCTTTTGGGATATGTACAATAACATGACAAGCATATACGTCACTCTTTATTCTGGCTGGTAAAAATAACATGCCCAGCTGGTGTTTTTTTTCATCTACCTGCCAAATCTGCCTGAGTTAAAAAGGTAAAGCTGCTATGCAGAGTTTATTCTGAGGTTATGGTTTAGACTAAAATTGATGTTTTTGTCTCTTTTTGACGAATAAAAAATGAAGAGAAAGAAAACATTGGGGACAAGATTTAATTTGTCTAGATTATTATTGTTGATGTCTGTAACTGCTGTGATTAGTATGCACTAAAAACCATGTGGTCCTTGTTCCAGCGGAGATCAGGATTTTTCTTTCTGAAGGGTTAATTTAGGAGACGTCCCTGTTGCTACTAATTGCTGTGACCATGTGGTCGTAGGGAATGGAGGACTTGATTTTTAGGAGAAGTTTAAGGAGATCTGAGCCATCTTGAGGAAAAAGAAAAGCATTTAAATTGTTTTGAAATAAATGTAAGCTCATCTATGTGCTGGAGAGAGAGAGGAAGAGTAAAGGACATCGATCAGACATGCATCATGTCAGTGTATCCACCACGCTTCACGCAGAGCACAAACAGACCTTTTGTTCCTGAGCAAAAACAAAGGCTAGTTAATATTCTGGGATGTGAGAGACCAGTGTTGTAAGAGCAGACTTCCACAGCTGTGTGTCCTGAGCCCGCTGTTTCAGAGCTGATAGCATCTTGATGAGCGTGCTGAATGCTGCTGGGACACCCTTAATGAAGACTTTATAAGCTTCCTGCTGCCATCTCACACATTATGCTCCCGAGTGCCACAATTGTGCAGCCACACGGCTCAAGACACAAGTGCTTTTGGCTGCACTCTTTTCGTGTGTGTTTAATGCGCTGTTACATTTGTCTGTTGGCGTTCATGCATTGTTGAGTTGTACTGTTTGGTTGCAAAGAGCCGAGAAAACCACCACTGCAAGGAATTCCAAAATAATACTTTGGGTCTGGTCCATGCTGAAAGGGTGTGCAGGTAGAGCTGGTAGAAAAACCTCACATTGTTTACTCTTGGATGGATTTCATTGGCCATCAGACACTGGAACTGCAGTCCTGATCACTGTTTTTCACCATCACAGTCTCAGGTTTTGGTCCCTTTTGACATTAAAATAAGTCTTTTGTAGTAATGAAGTCACATGGCATGGGAATGACGTGAGAAAAAAGCGGAACTTTCGACGTAGCAGTGAACATCAAAGCTTCTGAAACCCCCTGGAAGAAAACAGCTTAACACTGACAGATTTATAACCTAAAAACAGAGTGAACGTCATTATCAGCAGCTTGGCTAGCAGCCCCTTCTGAGGTCCTGTCCCCTGAAGAGCCACAGGGATTATTTTTTAACATTAAACCGCTTTACACTGTGTTTCCACTGGTTTTAACAGAGTCCTTTGTTTTGGAGAGGAAGCAACCTCTGTTGATAATTTTGGTTCTGGTAGAAAATCCAAAAGCTGAGCTTGTGACATCAGCAGCAGCAGCTTGGCTCTCAGCCTCTCCTCGTGCCCTGTCCCCTGAAGAGCTGCAGACAGATTAAAAAAAGGAATGACTGTTTCATTCTGTTATTTCAGACCATCTGAAGTGTAACCACCAAAAAAAGAGAGGGAAGAAATTTAATTGTCAAAGCTCTTATAAGGATTTTTTTTTTACTTTTTAAAAAGGCTAAAATTTAGTGAATACTTTTTTATGATAAGAAGCAAATAGGACCGCCAGTAACTTGGTTTTTGATTTCTCAGTAACTCAGAATTGATTTGTTGTTAAAAGTCACCAAAATTGACACAAACTAAAAGTTCCTCAGCCGTCCCCAAAACTATTTCAACAGCCCCAAAGTGTCCCAAAGCGTGACTCTTGTTACTTAAAGGGATATCCCAGCATAAAATTAAGTTAGGGTCAAACACACCGTAACACAAAGTTAGACAACCCAGCGGTCTTAGGGAAAAGCGCTCAACCAAAAAGCCACTCTATAGCCACAAATAATGCTCAGAACAGCACCTAACTGCATCAACAGTACATATTGTGTCCCAGTCATAGTACTAGCCATCAAACATCTTTTTAGCCTTGCCTGATTTCTTTAGCAAAGAGGCTAAACACAACTTACCCACTCTCTTCCAGCAGCCACTTGTTTGTAGGAAGACCTTGGACGAGTCCTTAACCGTCTGCAGTGGGGTGACGCGGCTAAAGGAAGGGTCCTCAATATTCCATGACAAGATTTCAGATCCTTCTTGAAGGTCTTGAAGCTTTAGATAGTGAGGGAAAAAAGTGTCAGCACAAACAAACGTCCTCGGATTAAATCAACGTAATGTTTCGGTTTCATTTGCTCAGCTGTAGTGACTCACACAACTGGGAACATACAGATCAAAGGGACATCTTTGATCATTCCAAACACATTTTTATGTCCCTCAGGAGGACAGGACGGTGTGAGTCTGGAGCTCTGACACCCTTTTTTTTTTTTTTCCCTAAAGTTCACAGTAGCTTCAACAAACTCTTCAAATTTTAAGCACTCAAACATTTTTGACTACGTAGTGGAAACTCATCCTGGCTTTTTATTTATTTATTTATTTTTAACCATATTTCACAGCTCTGTGTAAAGGTTAGAGAAGAATCACCCATGTGTCTGTTAAGTCTGCATTAGAAACCAAACCCTTTCAGTTCAGCTCTTTTCAGTGTCCATCCTTGGAGCAAGCAGGAAGTGAGGCAGATTAAACCTTTTGGACCTGTTAAGTCAACACGTCTCTGCTGTGTGCTGTTGTATTATTGTTCAGTTGTCAGCCTGAGCCTGAGCTCATCGTCCTCTGCTGCGCTCTCCATCCACGCTCTCAACAATGAGCGCTTATCTCTGCAGGCCGGGGTGGCTCAGCTGCCCTAACACATCCCCCTGTCCGAGTCCCGGCCAAATAAGCATTATCAGGTAGAGGAATTGCTGGCAGGTCAAAAAAAAGGGGAAAAAAAGATCCATGTTAATATGCCAGCATCCAGATTAGCCTGATATCTGCAGATGTGACTGTTTCCAGGTCTTTATATGTGGCAGAGGAATTATTGGTTAATCCTCAGTGACGTGCTGATGGACAGCTTTAGAGAAAGGGTGAATATTTCTGCTGCAGATCAAACGTGTGTGTGCAGGGGTAAGTACACCAGGTGGGGGAGGGTCTGGTTTGTCAGGCGGCCGAATGTTATCCAGGGATTTACCACCGTGTATTATTATCTGACCGGTACATTGTAGACTCACAGGGAGGATATAGGTTAGTACACAGTGGCATTACTCTGAAACATCTTTCTGTATGGGTTGGTTTGAAATAGTGTCACAATCATGGGACTCCATGAAATGATTTGACCCACAAGCTTCGCTGCATGGACATACAAATGTTTATTTTCATCAGGCTTTCAAAAAAAAAGGCTGTGTGGAAATTGCATTCCTAATTAGGATTAAGGAAGGGGTCAGGCAGCCTGGACTAGAATGTGAAGCATTTGCAATGAGCAGCGCTGATGCCATCTGTGCAGAGAGTGGTGAGGAGCTAATTCTGGCACTGAGTGTGGTGCGATTTAACACAGATTTCTGTGGTAGCAGCTCCAAATCAAGCATGGGATTTGACTCTGACTGCAGCCCAAAAATCTGTTGCATTGAGCTGAATTAGCCCCCACCCCTTTCCTGTTAAATCTCCTTTAAGCTGACGCCATGGAGCTCCCCAATTCACTCGGACATCCAACATGTGTGGCATGTCAGATTGTTCGCATTACAGAGATGCTGCGCCAGGGGAGGCCCACGCTCACCCTCTTGGCCTTCTGCTTCGATCTGTTTTGACAAGGCGTTCTCACAGTCTCCCTCAAGAGGCTGACCCGGGCCAAAAAAAAATGAGCGGCCAATTATTTCATGATGAAGTACGGTCATCGTGTCCCTGGTGAGTGTGAAAGGCAGAGGGGGACTGCTGCTCGGCCCTCTTACCTGGGAGCGATCCCAATTAGCAGACTGTGGGTGCTGTGGACGGTGCTGACAGCCACCATAAATAGAGCCTGGTCATCTAAATGTTAACCTGTTCTTGCTGTGGAGAGGAGCTGCTTATGACTGGTGGATATTACCTGCAATGGTCGTATCACTGTCAAAGTCAGTTTCAGGATTGACGGAAAACCTGTGGAGTGTCAAAATCTCACGGTCCTCTTCCTTTCAGCCCTTTGAATATTAGTGAACTCTCAGTATAATTCAGGCAGGATGGATGTCTGTGGAGGAGAAGTGAAGCAGTGACTATTTCAGCTGACGCCTGATTTACAATTTAAATCAATGCTTTGCCTGAACGGTGTTACCGGGTGCTCTTTAGTGGGTGTTTTTTTTCTGTCTTGTGCAGCTATCAGTGCCACAAACTTCCTCCACTCAGCCGTATGCATTTTTTAAAACGCTTGAAAAAATAAGGCTAACAGCTGCTGTAACTGCCACTGGTTTATTTCAAACTCAACATCAGATCATTGCACTATTTTAGGTCAAAACCCATTCTGACTGCAGTAGTTTTTGTCATTTCACAGGTGATTGATGGTCAGGCTGCTGATAACTCATGTTGAGATGGTATGTGGTGAGGATGAGGTGTTTCAGTAGGGGGATCTTAAGTATAACTCAAAGGAGAGTCATGTTTTCCACCAGGATCTCACGACTAGGCTTTCGTAACTGTCATGTAGAGGTGCTCTATGGATACATAGAACTTTTTATGTTTTCTTTAGAGAAGGGTTGCATGGGTAAATAAATATAAAGTAAAAAATGATACAAGGAACTTTGCCTTTCTAAAAGAAAATTAGTCCAAAGCATGCTGTAATAATATATGGCTAAAATCTTACAAATCTAACAAATATCTTTACCAGAGTAGGTCACAACACTCAGGCACTTTTAAAAGATTTACCTGGTAGGATAAAGGCATGCTAACTACGCATAATTACAACAGTAACAACTTCCTCTCTAGAGGAAAGTAACATCAATCTTTCAGCAGTAAATCTCAGTGATGATTTTGCAGCCCATATTAAATTTAATCTGTTAGTAGCTGGTTAGCCCATGTTGGGGCTGCTCCATTATGGCAACAATTGTGATCCCTACAGCCTCTTTATCAACATGCTGACTCTGTCCCTTGGCTTTTCAGACACACAGATGCACACACCTGCCTCTTCCTGCTCTCCTCTCTCCTCCTCCTGCTCCTCTCCCTGCTCTCCTCTTTCCACCTGTGATTGTGATTGTTTGGACCACTGTTGCGCAATGTGTTGAAGATTGATTCGCAGATTCCTCCCAAACTTTATTACACACTGATTCTGTATTACACACTTAGCTTGTAATGATAAGGAGAAAGTGAGAGCTGACTGAAAAGGGGGAAAGAAGAAAGTCCTGCCTTTGAGGAGGAGAGGGAGGGTGCACAAAAATAGACAAAAGGGAAATAAAGAGCAAGACCGTTATCACATTTTTGTGATTGTCAGGCGCAATAATATTTTTTTAATGGTGTACGTTTATTTAAGAGTAATGTTTATTTTCTACAAATGGAGAGAAATAAAAAAAATTGTTACAGTTGACAGTTCATCTCTAGTGAGCCCCATTATCCAAACTATAAGAATAAATCAGTGCACTGGCCAATTTACAATCTTTGTAGGGCCCTATGAAATCCGTTTTATTTTTTCCAAATTCCGTTCTTTTCTGTTTTAATTTTTTAGAATGCTGTTTTTTACCTTTTACATTTATTTACTTTCGTAGGGTGTGTGATTTTAGTGTCAGTAAATAAAATGTCAATTAATAAAATGCAAATGTTCCTAAATTTATAGCTGTAATACATCATTGCCCAGTATTTCAAGTCAAAACATTATGTTGTAACATAACAATGTCCCAAAAAGTGCTTTATGTACAAAGTTTTAATAATTTTTAGCATTAGCTAGCATTAGCAGCAGCACTGTGTTTTTCTTTGTTTTTCACATGGGTTTTAGACGACAAACGGTTGTCACACCCATTTTTGCGTTTCCAGTCAATGATATGTCGCCAGAATCCAAATGACATGTAAAAGTCATTTGGATATTGCTCGGCTCTGTACTTTGGAGACCGACAAGAGTTTCAAAGTTTTTTCACAGATATAGCTGGTGTTGCTGGTGGCCGCTTCCACAGGCTGTTTATTCAGGAGGGAGGGGGCGGGTAAGTGTTTGTGAAGAGATGCACGGGTGGTGCCACGAATGAGCGGTCCCCTGGGACATTTCACTAGACAAATGTTTCTACTCGTGATAACAGCATTCAGTCACAACATGCCAATATCCGCGAAATTCCGGGTTTAACAGTAGATTCTGTTTTTATTGGCCAATTCCACGATTCAGTTCGTGATTCTGTTAACCTGGAAATCAAAGGGCCCTATCTCTGTGGTCAGTTCTGGGCCTAATGGTTAAAGTGTGAATCCTATGTACAAAGGCTGTGTTTTTGTTGCAGTGGTTGCTGGTTTGACTCTACATCCAGCTATTTAGCTGCATGTTGTCCCCTTTTCTCTGCTCCCCACATTTCTTGTCTCTGTTCAGCTGTCCTCTCCAACGTATATATGTATATATATATATATACTGTATATATATATATATATAGATAAACACCCCCCAACCTAAAAAAGATAGAAAAATTGATGGGAAAAAAAAATAATTACAACAGACCTGCCACTGCTGTCCATGCCTGTTTCAGCACAGTCATAAAATAACAACCAACAGGATGACGAAAGACTTTTTCATCCATTTGATTTGACTGATAAACAAACATCTATTGAGTAAAATGGTGCATGTACTCTCTGGTAGCCTCTTCAGTTCATGTCTCTCAAACCCCATAATTAAGCTTCATACTCACACAGCAGCAATATCCCCTGATATCCTTTGATATTGAATGGATTGTCTCACTTTTTTTAGCAAAAATCAACCAGAATAGTAACCTAGGGCGAGGATGCAGTGCTCAGTTACACCTGCTGAAGCTCTTTCACTACTGGAGCTGCAGTGTGCGCTAACATAAGGCAATCATTGTGTTTGTTTCACTGTCGTACAGCCCTCACTGATATTTATGGATAAAACTGGTGGCCGCTGCAGGGAGTTTCTGGTCTACGGTGAATGTCAAACCCTGTATGTATATCTCCACATCCACGACATATATGTGGACCAAGGTTATTGTGTCTTCAGTCACAATACCCTTTGACCATTGTTCTGCTTAATTAGGCATTCATTCACTCCTACTGCCTGAAACTGTGTCACACAACAAAGGTCTTCATTGGCATGCCTGGCTGCTGGGACCATGTGAGGAGGCACCAAACAACAGGACTATTTTTATACGACGACAGGATCTGATCGTCTCAGGGCCAAAAGTGCTTCACATGACTCCATGAATCAGTGATATTATGTCTGAAGATCACTCAGGGATCATTTGTTTTCTGAATCTCTTTTTGTTGCAAATAACTCTGGCACCATGAGCGGATACATGAGTAGTATAAGATGAGGGCAGGATGTCGTGGCCCTGATCTCAACTATCAAATCAGGGCTGATCTTGGCATTTTTTAACTATTTTTTTTTTATCATCTCAACCGGACTGTTTCCACATCTTTTCATCGAAATATCGTCGACCAAATTCCTACCTTTTCCACTTTTTTTCTGATCAGGGATCTGATCTCAACATCCCCATAAAAAAAAAATATATTGTTTGTGCCTCACATAAGTATTTTGTTGGATTAAAATCAATGGTCTGTAACACCAAAGTCACGCAATGACTAACAAATCCACCAATGAGGCAACATCAGACCAACATCTCTGAGGGAACAACTTCCTGTTTTTATCACTTGAGTCAGGAGGCTGCGAGAGAGGCAGCAGAGCACTGTTTCTGGATAAAAACAGGACACTTGATCAAATAATGTTGTTTGACACTCAGTCTAACAGTCACAGCTTTTACATTTTTAGGAGACGTCAGTCAGCTGGGTGCACATTTGTACCCAAAGACCAAGTTGCAGCCATAACAGCCAATTTTTCAGTTGACTGAAGCAACGTCTTGGAGCAATTCCATGGTATCAGGGTGTTTATCAGGCTGAAAAATAATATGGAGTGTTTCAGTCTATTGTTTTGCCTTAGAAATAATCAAATGTTCAGGTGTAGTCAGAAAAAAAGCCTGAACTGGAGAAAGGTCACCCTAACTTCATCTGGGTAAAGAAGAGGTGGGTTGGAAAGAAAAGTTCAGCTTATTTTTAGCAAAGTGCACATTTCCTAAGCAGCTATTTTGTGTGCTGAGCCTGCGAGTGCCTGTTGTGAAGCGATGGTTTTAACACAGGGACGGGCACAGTGACAAGTTAAAGGCGCTGGATGTAAGGTGGGAGAGGGAAACTTGCTTTTTCCTCCTCTGTGGTCCAGTCCTGTGAGCGAGTCGTACTTAGCTCCAGGTCAAAGCGGGAGCAGGCCAGATGCAGACGCTAACACTGACGCATAGTGACAGGTTCCCAGGCATTCAGTGACACCCTCAGCTCCTCCCCTGCCCCCCCTCCATCCTCTCATTGGCTTCAGCCGAGTCTTTGACCCGGCCTGGATCAGAGGCCTCACCGGCAGCATGGAACATGGGCTGCCCTGGCCTCACAGTGCTCACAGATCAGGGCCCGAAGCAGCCTTATATGTAAATGCAGAATAAATGAATACACAAGGAGGCCTTGTGGGGAAAGTGGAGCTCTGTTCAACACACCTGGAAAAGATAGCATGCATTTGAATGAACTCATGGTACCAGAGAACAACTTTCAGTCAGACAGAATAAATTTATCCAGCAGAGAGAGAAAAAGACAAACACTGGGGTGACTTTTAGCTCAACTGAGAGTGTTTGTAGCCTTAGTTTCATAAAAATGATTCCATTGTTGTATATGTATCTTGCTGCAGACCCTGCTTTTACTTCACGTGGTTTGGTCTTTGGGGTTTATTTTGCTCCTCTGTTGGTTGAAGAAAACCACATTCGCCGACTTACTTCTTTTATATCATTTTACTTTTTCTGGCAGCATGCTCCCTTGACGCAAGTAAAGGTTAGCTGAGCTTAAAGAAGAATTTGACTTTTGGGGGAATGTGCTTAGTCTGTTTCTTGTCTGAGGTTCAATGTCTTATTTTTGCTCTGAATTTATTAGAGGTATCAGCAGACATGTATCTTAGCTTGGTAAAAAATAAAAATAATAGAGGAACAGTCTGGCCATAGTACAAGTAGCACAGTACATGACTATTAAATCCATCAATCAAATTTGGATTTTTGTTTGTTAATGCTAAGATTAGTCTGTTTGTTTCTGCTCTTCAGCTCAGCTACGCACCAAACGCCAGGTGTATCTGGGTCACATGTTTGGTTTGCATGTCAGAAACTCAAAGTCAGTTGTTTGGTACAAGCTGCCACAACAAAACTACTACTAACCTTGCTGTGTGAAAGATTTGATCTAACTGAGAGATGTAGTAATGCTGGGGTCAGACTACACAGATTTGTTTTTGTTTTCCGATGATCACTGTCAGATCAGGTGATCACAAGTCCAGAAATCTGTGCTGTGACTCTAACAAAAGACAGAGCAGACTCCACAGTGGTACCTGACCCACAATCATAGCCATTTTGATTACACTGAAACAAAGAGACGCTGGGCCTGACACCACCTTAACCTCTCAAGTAAGCTAGCATCACAGCTAGCAGCCCCCTATGTTCTGTGTTAGCTGAAAGGTATTAGGGATCTACTGATTTCATCTTCTCTCTGGCTGTTGATCCTTGATCTGAGCTTGTTGACATCTTGTTTGTTTAGCACAGAAATGTATTAAAGCATTTTTTCCAGTAGTTAAACTACAGCAGAGATATTTTGAAAAGCAAGTGTTGATATTTTGAAATAGTCGGTTGCAAACTCACCAGCCTTTGATGGGTTAATGATATAGAAAACCTCTGATCTAAATATATGTGAAGTGTACATTTATATGATGATCACTCCACCCCTGACCAGCATTTGATACATTGATACTCAGGTTTAGTATAGCTTTGAAACACAATGTCTGACATTTTGGGCTGTAACTGAGCTCTGACCTCAGCCCCAGAGGCAGCTCAGCTCACAGCCCCTGACACCTACAATGACAGTTTTAAAGGGGAGTAATTCATTCATTATTACTCTGTTCAGTCCCACAGTGTGAAATGTCCACTACAGGTCTTAAATGTTAACCTTAGCATTATTTGCAGCTATAGAGTGGGTTTTTGGTTGAGCTATGTGTGTGGCTCCTCAGACCGCTGTGTATTGCTATCTGCGGTCATTTCTAAAGTTGGTATAACTAGAGAAGCAAGCAGTCAGCAACATTCATCTCTCGAGGGGATGTTTAACTCTGTGTTACGGTGTGTTTGACCCTAACTTAATTCTATGTTGGAATATCCCTTTAACATCCTAATTCCTTACAACAACCTTGCAGCTCAGTTTACAGCCCCCATGTCCCGTGTCATGGAAAGACTAGTGCAGATTTACTGATTTCTCTCTTTATCACCTCTTTATCACTGATGGTCCTAATCATGGAGACTTCCTCAGTCTAATGTAATTTTACTCATGTGACTTGTTAGCATTTTTGTTTATTTGTTGAATCAGCAAAAGACATTTTCAAGGCAATACTTTGTGTTTGTTGTTGATCGTAACCTGAGAGAGTTTGTGAAAAAAATAAACAGGTCTGGAAATATTGAAATGAACAGTTACTAGCTCATCAGCCTTTGATAGGTTTAACTCTGACCTAAATACGTGCGTCTAAAACACCAACGCTCCACCCTTGATCAGCATGTGATACATTAATACACAGGTTTAATATAGCTGCGAGTTTTACATACACTTGAAGATGGCTGCTCTGTCAGTGACAAGTTACTCTTGTGCGCTTGAACATGGTGACATTTTCCCAGCAGCTGAAGCAGCATCTGACCCTTTTATACTGAAGGGTTTGCCTATTTTTTTTTTATCTTAGCCACTGCACATTTGCATTTTAGAGGACTTAACCTTTTGAGCCAGAGAGAGTTTTGTATTTTAGCCTAAGCTCAGAGGAATAGAATTTCAATGTAGAGAGCTTAAGTAAGTGAATGAGAATAAACTGTTTTGTAAACCAATAGGAATGGATTTCCCCTGTCGATCACACAAAGAGATTACTCAGACATAAAACTTTAATGTCTGTCTTTATCTTGCAAGCAGTTTTCTGCGTTTGAGTTGCCACAGAGCTGTCACAACATTTCAACTCCAAAGAGGTCAAAGGAGGTGAGAGCAGGAGGAAGAAAGTTTAAAATACACCAAGTAAGAGTTCGACATTGGTGGATGACCACAGCTGAGACAATCTGGGGGTCCTTCTGGCTGCCAGCTCAGCCCTAAACCCCCCCACTGTCACCTTGTAAATAAATTGCTGTTTTCAAGGAGCAGGACCTATGCGGTCTGTTTCTACCACTTTCTCCCACAGCCCCAGAACAGGTGGGCTCCTGTCGAACACTGGTTGCTGGTGGGAGGAAGGGAAACAGAATCCGGTTACTATGGAAATATCAGCGATATTGCTATGGGAACTGGAGCAGCAGAGCGCACTTTGTCTAGGATCTAGCTGTAATCGTCTCTCAGAAAGAAGCTTATGGTAATATGTGATGCTCTTATGAATTAATTTGTCAGGCTTTGTGTCCCAGCTGACATCACAGACTTTTATCGAATGGAAATTAGCGTCTCCTCGGGGTAAAGCATGTGAGACACAAGAGTGCTCCAGTAATGCGCTATTCAACTTGTTGTTTGCCTCTAGTCAGCATCTTAGGATTACAATGCAAGGCTGAAATATCTATAATTAAAGGGACATTTCACTAATTCGTCATATCAGATCATGATTTAACTTGGTTTGACACCTATGAAAAGATTTTTCTTTTTATAGTTTAAAGAAAACCTAAAGATGGCCCCCCCATCCTCAATCGTTTTCATCTAATCCTTTATTGACACAGACTTACAGTCCCATAAACACCCAGATATTTTCTTAGTACAGCAGATTGATGCTGTAGATTTTTTAAGTGCCTCAGTATCTAAACTGTTTACAGATGTAGCAGACAACTGGCATTTGTTCTGTTGCTATTTTGGTCAGTTTAGGTATTTAAGGAGTAAGAAGTTGAAGCTTTTCTCTGTTAGTGCTTCAGCTTCAGATTTACACTAACAAAAAAAAGGTTGATCCAGATGTCACACTTTTAAATAGAGACAAATAAAAATAAATTATACACGAAGGGTGCCACAGCCACTACTGCCCCCTTAAAAGGTATCCTCTGCCTCAGTTTCTCTGTGGAGAAAATAAGCTTCCCTTTACGTTATAAAGCTTTCTGTAACTCTTTTCATCTCAGGGTTTAAATTGGTGAGTATTGGGGTGGGAAAGTTTCCAAAGAAATATAACTGTATGAGTTGGAGTATAAGACATTATATTTCCTTAAAATACATGAGAAAATATGGGATCTTCTTGCAGTCGGGGTCTTCAATTTTACACCCCAATTAATCATATATTGAGGATAGTAGTGGAAGTACTGGTTTTTCAGTCACCTATAGTAACACATCATATTTAGAGATCGACATAGTTGCACAAAGAGAACAGCAGGACCTGAAGTTGTCAGGCAGCAAAGTTTGCTTGAATCACTTGAAAATTAAACTCAAGTAACAACAATAAAAACATGTTGTTGCTAATTGTTGATGTGTGTTTTTGTTTTTATGTATTGACACCAACCTGCTAATGGGACTGGGGACGGAAATTAGCCTCTTGGCTATAATCCCATGCATTTACATGTAAATGTTCATTAATGCTTATTGTCCCATTAAAAATTATATTTAATTCTAAAGAATCAGAGGAAGCAGGACTTAAATGTTGATCCAGAAAGTCCATCAGAAAATAGTGTCTCCAACACTGGTTTGAAGGAGGAAAAAAACAGTCAATCAGAGTGTGGGAGAGGAACTGCAGCTCACAAGCACAGCATAGCAAGAACTGGCTTTGCAGGCTCCAACAAAGTGATCCGGATGAAGTCTGGAGAAATTTAGACCTCACTGAGTGACAGGAGGGACAGGGAGGACTGTGTTGGTTGTGCTTGCTGTTTGATTTAGAACATAATATGGAAGAAGAGCAACTGCTAACTGCTCAATGAAAAGAATGAATAAATAAAGGGTGAAATAGGAAAAAAAATCTAAGGTAAAATACTATGATACAACAAAGACAGTTCTGTTTGGCTCCAAAATACTTCATCATCTAAGTCCAGTTCACACTCAAGTCCCACCATGGACACCAAATTGTGGGAAATAGTTCAGAGGATATTATGATGTTGTTTTGAAATGTTGGCCTTTAAATAAAGACTAATCATGCTTTTTCCAACATTTCATGTGTTTCTTCTTTGTTATTGTAGACACTCCTACAAACACTCTTATTTTTCTTATCTGTTCCTCCAGTTTTTCCTGCACAACACTTTGAAAATCACCCTCTTCTCCTGGCTTGGCTGCAGTGTGCTCCAGGCTCTGGGTGAACTTTTCATCACCGTGACCACAAACTCAGCAGTCATGTGTGCAGCTGCCAAAACCTCTAACCTAGTTTGCGCAGGAACAAAAACATTTACATCTGTTCAAAGATTTTTTTGTGTTTTGAGATGAAATTTTTTGGCAGAAGTGCCAGGAAAAAGAGTGGCAGGAATGCAGCAGTTCTGGCAGCTTTTAACTCAGCAGGGCAGTGTAATCCACTGACTGTGGTTCTTAGAGGACAGAGTCCTGCAGTCAGTCTGAGGCCCTGCAGTCACAGGAGTGATCTGATAATCTATCTGACTCTTTGTAAAGTACTCAGCAGATTTACAATGCTAATGATTGCTTTCCTCTTGTTTTGATTATGGTCAGCGTTTGATGTGATGATGAAGTTTCTCCACATCCTTTATCCTGAGCTTGATTGGAGAACAAACAGATCGGGGCGGAGTGATGAACCAGTCTCACTTAATATTCACCTCCTTCTTCTCTTCAGTGCAGTAATGCGGCCTGTTTTTACCTCAGCAGCTCTTTTATTGTTGTTATTCGCTTGGTTTGCTTGTTTACCTGTGTTGAAATTGGAAACACGTTGCTGAATATGTATCAGGGGTATCTAGGCCATGTTATTCATGTAACACAAGCTGCATGCAGTGAATATATAGCCTAGCACGTATGTTCTCCTGTCCATGAAGCTGTCTCTGCACATGTGTTTGGATGCACATGCTCTTAGGGTAAAAGGACCTTAATGTAACTCAGAGAAATGTGTGACTCAAACAGTATATTCTCTCAGGTTGTCATTTTTATAAACTGTTATAGGATATATGACTTGGAAGACACGGCCTTGGAGATGTCAGAGGTTGATGAGACCAGCTGGAGAGTGTTATATTGACATTGTCATTTCTGTTGGCGAGGATCACTATGGCTAAATCCGTATTGAAAGAACATACAACGCTCATTCTAAAATTGAATAGAAAAATGAACACATATGGCTGGAACATATAACACAAATATTATTCTGGTTTGTTTTTTAATATAACTAAAATTACTTTTTAAAAATCCTGCATTTTAAATCCACACTGACAATACAGAGTAATTTTTAAAAATAATTTCGTTATAAAAGAATTATATCAGTACAATGAAATGTACTTTATAATCTTTAATGGAGGTGTGTTTTTGCTGTTTATGCTGCGCTGCTACACCAGTGTGGTCCGAAACCATGACTGAGAGGTAGCAGACAGCTTTACAGTGCTCCATGTTTGAGTCTAACCTGTAGTAACTTTTCAAGGACGTTGTATCAGTGATGTCCTGGGTCATTTCTGAAGCCGAGTTTTGAAGCCTGGTGGTGATGCTGACTAAACCAAACTTTCAGTCAACTTGCTGGATTGGGCCTTTAGCCTGCTCCCTGATCGCTACATTGTGCCTGCCTGTCAGTCAAGTCAGCCGTGCCTCTGGTTCAGTAAGCTTGCAATCCTAATAACTTAATAACACAGTCGGTGCTGTGGGAACATTAAGCTATTCAGATCAAACCTGTTTTTTGAACCAGGCTGTACATTTATTTTTGCTCCAAAAACCATCTCTTTTGGCTCCGAGTGCGTGTGTTTTCCTGTTCTTCTACACACAGCCTGAAGCAGGAATTGGGGGAGCGGCAGTTTCTCTCACTTCCACTTGAGCTTTATTTTTCAAGACCAGAGGTTGCTGCCATGTCCAAACAGTCAAATTACCCACAGGGAGTCTCTCTCTTCAAAACAATCAGACCTTAGCTGTGTGTCACCAATAAAGGCTGAACTGAGGAAGCTGTCTGAGGTTGGTTAAGTGTCAAAGATGGATTTATTCAAAGCTTGTAGGACAAAGTGAAAGGGGTAGTTGGTGGAGGTCCAAAGCTGGGGGGTGTGGAAGTGCTCCGTGGGGAAGTGGCTGGCACCACTGGAGGTCTTGAATAAAAGGAGCCAGTTATGAGTCACTGTGGCAAACAGGAAAACAGCTCAAATGTTTAAGGGCAGGCCAAAGGCAAAACTGGAGCTAGACTTTATGGCACAACAAACCGTGTTTGGCACAGCGATCCAACTGGGACTTACTGTTGGATGAAGGGTTGTTTGAGGGAGTGAGTGATCTACTTGATGGCTGCAGATTCAGGTCAGGTGAGCAGAGACTGAAGGTGACAGCGAGTGAATAAAAACAAAACCCACAAAGCACTTCTTGTTCTCAAAACTCTACAAATAAATAAAAACACACTCACACACAACCATGCAATTTAACATTTCCTGTCAAAAATCGCAAAAACTCTTGAAAAGACAGATGAGGGGCTGCTAGCTGAGCTGCCATGAAATTTATTAATTCATCTGCAATTTTTTTAAATGTTTCCAGGCTAATGTGAGCTAACCTTGGCTGGCTTTTGTAGTTTTCACAGAAAAGATCCACTCTTTTTTTTCTGGTGTGAATGCTGCTGTTTGTTGCAGTGTGTCAGGCAGTTTAAAGCAATCGAAACTGATTAACAATGTCCAAGGTTTGTCATTGTTGAGCTTTGGATGTATCATAATCACGCATTGAGATCATAAGAAGTAACCAGCCACAGGGCATCATTAAGTAAAAGAATATAACCGGCGTGTTGGGTGCACAAATCAACAGCTCCTGGCTGAGACACCTCATGCATCTCAAGCAGCGTTCAAGTACGTGACGAGTTTCCAAACAGACACTGGTTGATCACAAGTGAAATTGGGTGCGTCTACTTTGATGTCTGAGCTTCCAAAGGGAGCGTGGGAATATTCTCCACAGGCAGCGGGTGCAGATTTTCCACAGGGAATATCACACGCTCGCTTAATTGAACCTTTCTATTTATGATCGCGGCCTCACCTCTCTGGATTCACCGAGCAGCGGTGAACAAGCTCTGTTTCCTCAGGGGGGATAACAGAAAAGAGGAGGGATTCATTACACAATGCAGCATCAGGAAATACTCAGCTCCTCTGCGCCTATTGTATTATTCAGTGATGAAAAACCTGAGGGGTTTATGAGGGCATTACACTAAGATTACAGAGAAAACTCTGTGCCCACCATGGGGGCGGGAAGGAAGATTAAAAAAACTTTAATGCAGATTTGCAGATTGCCAGATCTCACACAGCTGTGTCCAACCAAGAAGCAAATAATAGAGAAGAGAAACAGAGATGAAACCCATGTCATATGTAGGTCAGTGAGCACCTGCACGGTCTAAAAGCTAATAATCGACATCACACAGTTGGTACACACTGATGCTGCCATGTGCCGGGCAGAAGCTGTGCCCCATTTTCACACAAAAAACACATAATATTATTAGATGTTAGAGGGCTGAATAAAGAGAGGAGAGTGAGAGGGGGATGTGTCAGTCGGAGAGGAAGAGAGATGGAAAACTCCTCTCTTTTAACACACAGTCAGCACTTCACCTCGCTGGATTGACCAGCTGTTTTATGCTGTAATGCAGCATTTTATAAAAAGATACACAGGAAGAAGCATCCACTCAAATATTCAAGAGGGGAGTCATCTGAATCCAGCACTCAAGAATGTTCCCTTCACTTTTATTTTGTTTTACCACCACAAGGTGAGTGAGAAAATGTTCATCTGCCTCACATGTAAAGCGACACTCTATCATGTTTTTAAGTTTAAAGGAGTCCCATCATACTCATTTTCCCCTTTCATAATGTCAGTCTGGGATCAACTGTAGCTTGGCATCATTTGCAGCTTAGAAACATATTTATATTTAACTAGCATCCATGAAAATCCTCATCACAGTCCTCTTCTGACCCTGCCTGAAACGCTTCTTTTTGGCTGCTTTCATACAAGTAAGACAAAGTGTGTGCGTGTTACTTCTTACACAGCCTCCTAGTCATACGAAACATTAGGGATGGGAGAAAAGATAGATACAGCATAGTATCCCAGTATTTTGTCTGGTGATATATTTTATCGTCTCATTAACCAAGTATCGATTTTTCAAATTAAATGTTAATGTGAAGTCAAATCTTTGATAATGGAAAAATAAAATCAACAGTTTGTCCAGTGAGGTTGGCAGAGGTGACATCATAAAGCAGGAGAAAGTCAGTACAACAAATATAGCAGCACCTGGGGAAAGACATTAGAAATGCAAGCAGGGCACAAATGAGATGGACCTGACACATAATATTTGCAAGAAGTGGTACATGAAAATAAAATACTGTGTAAGTAAGACAAACATAAAGAAAAGACAAATGCTACATTAGCCAAACAGTTGAAAAAAATGTATGGATCGCAATATATTGTCTAGCAATACTTACTGTTTTGCAAAATGTTAAAAATCGCAATAATATCATTTCCTGGCCCAAGTGTTGTGAGAATATCCTATCGTGGGGCCACTTGTGATCAAAGACTGTATCAAGAATGGACAGAGTCTGCCTCCTTGCTGGGTGAAGCCACTCCGAGAACAGCACCCTCTGTTGACGGGCTGCAGTATAGGTCATAAATTCCGCCTCTGCCAGCAAAGCTTATGGAGCTGTGGACGAACTTTAGAAATTTATTACACAGAACGTAAAATTTTTCTCCCCCCTGCTTGTGATGTTGACATGTAGTTATTGTAAGACTGGTTTGTGCTCAAGTCCTCTTTTTCTGTGAAGCTCAGTTTTTAAAAGTTATTAGGGGGTTCATGTTTGCTATGATTGACACCTGATACAGCCTATGGGCGTTCAGGGATTGCGTAGCTCTCCCGGGGGATACACTGTTTGAGCCGAGCGTCATCACAGCGACTCTCTGCGACTGCGCGGCCGAATGCGCGCATTGCTACTGCGCAGCGCTGGTTTCAGGATATATAGAAAAATCCCGGAAATACCAAGAGCTATTTGGCTTCAAATCCGTATACAGGCGGTAGGCGGAACCAAGTTGTCCATACAGTCTGCTTGCGATTCTCACCCTGAATCCATATTAGGTCCCTGTTGTCCCTTTGGCTTCTGTTATAATATTTTTTTAACAGTGTGTGTTTCTGAGCTTTCATGGAGGTCATTGCAGATGATTGTTTTCTTCAGAGGTTTCAGTAACAGCTGAGACTCAAACCCAGCTCGTACTGGCCTTTTGTTAACAAAGAAGTCACCTGGTTGATGGGAAAGTTTAAACAGTGGGCTTGATAAAGACTTGGGGCTCTATTTTCGTTCGCGCCGGTGAGGCGGCGGAGGGCGGCTAGCCCCGCGCAGTTGTATTTTCGTCTGGCGGAGCCCGGTGTAAGGCGAGTTTGGTATTTTCGTGGACTGAGTCGCACGGAGGCGAGCCGAGATCCGCCAAGCTGGGCGTGGTGGCGTGGCAGGGGGAGGTGTAGACAGAATCAGCTGGCGCAGTGACATTTTCGTGCTCGCCACCGGCGTGTAACGTGCGCTGAAAGCTCGCCGATTCAAAACTGGTCAGCTTTCAGCGCAAGGCGGAACGCAGCTGGTCTAGTAGTATTTTGGTAGACCGGCGGCGTATCGACATACATCACCGATGCCTCACCGGCAGGTTTCCACAGTGTCAGGCAGATTTCAGTGCAATAAGTAATCAACAACAACTAATAATCTGAGTCAGCACATACATTTAGATCTATATCGATATATTCTGATCTATATCTGATCTGATGAGCGCGTTTGGCACGCGTTTGGCACGCGTTTGGGCACACAACCTGACCGAATCAATACAGCTGAAACTGCATCAAATTAAATTAAATATCTAGTAAATAAACACACATGATAAAGTTAACAAGATATGTAATGTGTCTCCCTCCTTTTCTTTCTTCCTCTTATTTCTCGCACAGCTCGACCTGGACACGTCTCTGTGTCCTCTGTCCGTCTTGCTGCAGCTGCTGCGGCTGAACAGATGATTTGTTTCAGTGCTCAGATGCGTTATCTACTTTAAGCCGACATACAGATATTATAATATTCAGTTTTGTGGGCCAAATTTATTTTATATGCCAACATCTATGAAAGAAAGAGCCAGGCCACGGAGCGCGATGCGTCATTTACGCACAGATGGTTCCGATTTTAATGCCATTTTTGGAGTTTATGTTGTGATCTGTGCGCTAAACCCACCTTTGTCACGTGAGGTTTGAATATATGCAACTTTATGTGAGTGTCTTTTTTGTGGAAAAGGGTGTTTGTCTTACCAGTGGGTCCAACATTACACACACCAAATCCATCTGTGCTCAGATGAGAGAGTGTGGAGGACACTTGTTGAGCAGCTGCCCTCTGTCGCCATCGTGTGGCATAACTGTCTTCAGACATCTCTTGATCTCTTTGACTACTTCATGAAAATAGTAATACGCCTCGCCGGTGGCGGATTTAAAGGCAAGGAGAGGAGCTTATGTGATTGGTGAAAACAGGTCTCGGCTGTGTTAAACCCACTATACGCCCTTTCTCCTCCCCGTCTACGACTTATGCTGCCGGGAGGAGCTGAGTTAGGGAGGGGGGATACTTACGCCGGGCTGCGCGGCTCACCAAAATACCAAAATGTGCTTGGGAACGCCTTGTCAGCGCGGCGGATCTGATTGACGCTGCGCTTGCGGCACCTCTCGGGCGAGGCACCAAAATAGAGCCCTTTGACTGTAGCTCAGTGATAGTGTAATAGTGTCAATAGTTAAAACAAAAAACATACTTGTGATTGTTTTGAATCAAGGAGTTTTAAGAGCGCCCTAAAAGGTGTATCTAAATTAATTCTAACACTGTTGTCTGTAGCTGTATGATCAGGACCCGATGAGGGAGAAAAACTGTTGCGAAGTGGCCCTGCTGCCAGCCTGCTCTGTGTTGCTCTATATCCAGCATGCTTTGCCTCTTGGAGTGCCATCTGTTGCAACACAATCAGACTGCCAGATGTGCAGCTTTATTTACGACATCAGTAGGAATCAGAGGTAGCACTTATTAAAGAAGTGAACTGAGTGAAAAACACAGAAGGATGAAAATCCAGTTTTATGTCTGACTTTAAGCTCCACTTGAGTTTTCTTTCTGATGTTATAGTCTTTGTCATCTTAAATGCTGCATTTTCACTGCCTGTCCTGCAAACTTTGAATCAGTGTGAAACTCTGCTCTTAAAAACTGACCTTTTCAAAAACTCTCTCTTCATCTTTGAGACAGTGCCTCTCAGACACTGTTTAAAAACACATCTTTTTTTGTAACACAGAACATAAGTATATCTGTTGGATGATTTCACAAAGCATCATATAAGCTAAGAGTTTTAATGCTTGCATTAAATGCATCTTTCTGAAATGAGGGATCTCTTCTCCTCTGATGCACAGTGGTGTTGGTCCAGTTGACCTTTCTGTTTTCTACCTGCTGATCTGTCTCTGTGGGCGGGAGGGTTTTGAGTTTTTCCTGGACAGCTGTTTCATGGCAGACCTCTCAAGCTTTTTATCTCCACGTCAAGCTCACTTAGGCACCTAATCTGCTCTAATACTTTGTGAATTAAGGAGGAGCAGAGGGGGCCAGGGGTGCACTCTATTAGCTCTTTATGACCACAGTTTAAACTGCTTTTAATGAAAAGCCCCGTTGCTAACTTAATCACCTGGAATAATTTATTGTCCATTCTGGATTCTGTTTCAGCACCACATATTCTGTTATTTTGAACTCCTGGCATACTTGGCCTAGTTAGATTTGGTGTTTGGTTACACAGTAGCTGCAGTATTTGAAACTTAAACCCAGAAGTGAGCGCTTGCATGTCTCACCTACACAGCTTTTGTCAAAATCTGTAAAAATAGAGATTTCTTCTGAAGAGCAGCTTCACTCAGTCATATTTCTAACTCTCTGTGTAAAGACAGGATTAACTTTAAGGCTTTACTTTTGTACAACAGTGTCGTCAGTACAAGGAGCTTTTAGAAACACTCAGTCAAAAAGCATTTCTTTTCACACACTTTCTAATTCTGACACAGCTGTGTGTCTGTGTTTTTGCATGTAGCGCTGCAAAGAGGTTAAAAGGCAACAGGCTTTGACTGGATTCGAGGTGGTGTGATTATCAGGTTTCACAGATCCTCATCTTTCCTCCTTTGCTGTTCTTTGTAGAAGTTTTCAGAAAACACTACTTTTACAGGTTGGCAAAGACTTAACTGTTGGAAGGGGAAACTTATTTCACTTGGGACTTAAGTTTGTTGCTGTTGCAAAGTGCAAAACAAAATATATTTTGAGTGCACAGACAGCTGTAATATTTATTTAAATTTCCAATGAGAACAAATGAAGTTTCATTGTTGTTAGGGTCTGCTTCTCTTTTGTTTTTTAATCTAGAAAGTTGGGATGCTGTGTAAAAACTTAGTCAGTAAAATCAGAATTTAAAGGTTTGCAAATCATTTATTATTTTTATTATTATTATTATTATTATTATTGTTATTGATAATAATAATAATAATAATAATAATAAGAAGAAGAATGTATTTTATTTATAAGCCCCTTTCTAAAGACTCAAGGTCATTTTACAAAGTAAGAACAGCAGCACAGAACGACAAGATAAGAGCAATAGAGTTAAAAAAAATATATATAAAATAACATAAAAATATGACACAGTAAATTACAAGGACTGGGCTAATCTGAACAGGTGTGTTTTGAGTCTGGATCTGAAAAGAGGAAGAGAGTCAATTTTCCGGATGTCAGGTGGGAGTGAGGTCGAGAGTTGGGGAGCAGAGCGGCTTTATACCCTGTATTGATTTGTGTCTTCTATGGTGTTTTTGTTCTGATTTGACACATTTTTTTCAGTGAATGACAACCCTGCATATTACCCCAAATCCTCTAAGCTACCCATGCCATAGACACAACATCCTCATACTACCAGGGATGCTGGTGTTCTAACTGTGCAGTAATAACAAGACTGGTGGTCCTCCTTCTCTTGAGGGTACAGGATGCAGGGTCCAAGATTTCCAAAAAGAATGTCAGATTCTGAATTGTAAGACCACAGGACAGTTTCACAATATTATTCTCTGCACTATTTGCTCATGCAGTCTCTCACATAGTGGTGATCCTCTTCCCATCCTTCCCTCTGAGAGACTCACTTCTTTGTAATGCCCTTTTATACCCGGTCATGTCACTAGCCTGTTACTCATCAGTTGAAAGATGCTTCTCCAGGTGTTTTTTAAGCATTACACAACTTTTTTTAGAGTCTTATTCTCCCTGTCCTAACATAAATTTGAAATGTGCTTACATTTTTGATAGGACTGCATGTTTTTTCAACAAGAAGATCTACAATGTTGGTGTAGTGGTATTATCACTATTATTATAACGGTATGAAATGATTTGCAGACCACATTATTCTGTTTTAGTCACATTTTACACAGCCCCCCAGCTTTTAGGAATTGTGGCTTGTTTTACTCTTCAGCTTTCTGTCGCTACAATAATGCTGATCTCTGTGGGGGAAACATAATAAAACAGAGAGGTTAGAGCAGGGCAACATGGTGGTGGACTTACAGATTTTATTCCTTTACTCTTAAAAAGGGACGAGGTGTTTGGATTAGGGGTGCACCGATCCACATTTTTTCACATCCTATCTGATCTCGATTCCTGAATTTGGATATCTGCCGATACCGATACCCTTCCGATACCAGAGCTCTCTTAGCTTTACCATCATTTTTATCATTATTGTTTACTCATTATTATCTTTCTTGTTGTCTGCTGGAAATTAACCTTGCTTTTGGTATGACTCCAGAAGTAATTCTTGCTGCCTTGTTTCCTCTTTCTGTCCCCTGGTCAAAAAAATCCTTGTGCTCTTTCATGTGGAGCATTTTGAAATGTTTGATTACATTAGTGGTATTGTATGTCGCGCGACAGAGGTCCCGCCTCTCGGAATAACAGCTTTGCAAACGTTGTACATTGCAGTATTACTTTGCAGCGTTTCGACTGTAAAATATTTCGACACAGCAGACATGTTATGTGGAAAAGCTCGCTAGCCCTAGTACTGCTCAATGCTAGCCTGATAGCTGCTTGGCTACAAACTGCGGATTGGATTTCCTGAACGGCAAGTTTCATCTCTGTGTCTCATTGAGACACGCCTCCGTTTAGGAAATCCATTCCGCAGTTTCCAGCCAGCTAGCAGACTGGCAAGAATCACTTGTACAGTCATTTTAGCAGACAAAGTTAAAGCAAAGACATGACATGGATCAGAAATTTTTGAAGGTTGGATTGAAAATTTCTGATCCAGGAATTACATTGGTATCTGAGCCCGATACTGATACTGGATCCGACTGACTAGGGATCGGCCCCATCCCTAGTTTTGATATATTTATATATTTAGCACTGATCTCTGTCAGTAGAACAATCCAGGAGAAAAATTATGTAATTGATCACACTGGGCACATAAACATCCCAGTGAAAGGATTTCACAGCCTCTTGTATGTGACACAGCTGAAGAATACCTATAAAGTCCATGGTGACGAGCTCCAGACTAAGAAACCTTGGAGAATAATACGTTTTTTGTTGTGACCTACTTTTGACCCGGTTTGTTCAGCAGTAGCTAAAAACAAGCTGTTGTCTTGTCGTGGTCTCCTCAGAGAGTGGGGGCTAATCAGCTTACCCTGTCTGCTGAACAGGTGACCCCACACAGCGCTCTGTTTAGTGGACAGTTGGTGGAGGTCAGATTATCTCTGTGAGAGAGGGTTTTCAAAGAGAGGCCTCTGACCATTTTCACCACCAATTAGTGTCAGACCACACCTACACACTGTACACACCATGTGGTGTCTCTGGGAGCTCCATCTCTGAGCTCTTTAAGGGGTCATGTTTTTTAATTGTTATGCACTTCAAAGAAAAACAGTTTTAAAAGAGATCCTGGGTAGAAATAACCCGAACTCTGAGTCTTATTCTAATCAAGAATCTCTTTGCGGTTTTGCTGACATCTTTTGGTCTTTGTGTGGTTAATTGTTTTTCTTTGAAGCCTTTCTTCATCCTCTTTTGAAGAGTTATTTTTTTGTCTCATTTTGTCTCTGTCGCATGTTTCTTCCTTGCAGTTCAGAGATTGTTTGTTGGGGCTTTTTCATGCCTTTGTTGAGAGATAGAACGGTGAATAGAGTCAGATAGAGGGGGGCAAGAGTGGGGGATCAGGGTTGGAGTCTAACCCAGAGCTTCTGCTCCAGGGCTGGGGCCTCTGCACGAAGCACGTGATTTAAGCGCTGAGCAGAACTGGCGCCTCTTTGCCAGACCCAGTGTCCACCCAGAAGCCTAAGGACAGAACCCTTGTGGACTTCCTTAATGTAATGTGTGCAGAGTGTGAGTCTGTGAGGACATGAAATGGTAAAGATTAAGAAATGGTGACTGTCATGAAAATACCTGGTGTTAAGAAGCATTTTCTTCTGTATTTTTGTGATTATATTAATATCTTAGTAATCATGGTCCATTTATTTTGTCTCTGGTTGTATTCCTCTCTTTGTAGTTATTCTTTGGTCTTTTTGTAGTCTTCTTCTGGAAATTTTGTCTCTTAGTGGACGTTCTCTTTCTCTCTCTGATTCTTTTTGACTTAAAGCAGATTTTAGTCACTTCTCTATTTTGATTTTATGTCTTTGGTCATTTTTTCTTCATCATCTTGTTTGCAGTTGTATTTCTCTCATTTTAGTATTTTTATTTTCCTTTGTCTCATGTTTGTGGACTCTGTTGTTCTGTATTTGGATATGTGTGTTTTTTCTATAGCTGTTTTCCCCTTTATTCTGGTGTTTTCTATTTGTGGTCGCTGTTTGGAAGTTTTGCTCTGTAGTGATACAGTAAACTCAATGGGGTTAAGATTTCCTCTTTAGATGTCTTCCATACTTTTTCTTTCCTTTATTTGGTTATAGATGAGTGATCTGTCTAACAGAGCTGGTGGACAGTGTCTTTGGGATGAGGAATCATTTATCACTTAATCTCAAAGAAAACTATAAGTTAAAATAAGTTTTCATTCTATGAGTGTTTCTGTTTGTTCTAAAAATTCTTCAACATGCTCAAAATAGATGATTAAATAACATGTTTTAAAAAGTCTAAATTTTTATTATCATGGGTTTCAAATTGTTGATGGAAGATGAATTAGACATGTCTTTATCAAGTCTACAATTTCATGTGAACAAGTCACTGTACAAAAAGGTGTAGGTTGAAGCTATTTAGCTTATATGTACCTTATATGTGTTTCTGATGTTGCCAAAAAATTACCAAAGCTACGAAGTCTAGCATGAATATATGATTAATCATTAATACTAAAACAAAGACCTTATACATATATACAGCCATACCTATATACACATATATACACACAAATATACACTTTACATACAGTATATATACTTTGAATACTTCAAATCTCTCATGTATACCATACCCATTTACAATAAAATTAGTGTGGCAAAACAAAAATCACTTTCAGTCATACTCTGCTTTAATTTACTTTTAAACTGTGCTATTGTTTTGCTTTGTTTAAGATCATCAGGCAAACTGTTCCACAGCTTCACCCCCACAACAGAAAAACACATGCTTTTAAGTGTGGTACAAACGCCTGGCTGAAATTGCGTTCCCCTCTTGATACATACCGTCCCTCTCTTCCAGTAAATATTTTTGTATATTACTAGTGAGTAGATTGTTACTAGCTTTATACATTGTCTGTGCAGTTCTAAATTTAACCAGATTAGCAAATATGATTCAAATCAAGTATTCACATTAGGACTTCACCTATGCATTCACAAACCAGAGTGAAAAGGAAAAGGAGAAGTAAAAGAGGACATGCAGTATCTGGAAAATTTGCCTTTAAGATAAAAGTACAGAAAGGAATGGGTTGACTTGCAAGATTAACATTAAAGTTTTCAAGTTTGATATATTCAGACCAGCTTTTTTGAAGTGTCTTGGGATATATTTTTTTAATTGGTGCTAAATGAATAAGGATTTATTGATTGATTGATACATATTTAATTTATTTAACAAATACTGTGTCCAGGTCCATTTGTTCTGCTTTGCATTAATGCTGCTGTCAGGAAATCTTCAAACGTCTTCCCAGTCTAAAACTTGATTTTACAAAGTGTACAGCAACCTTGAAATTAGGCCTGGGCGATTTGGCCAAAAAGATGATCACGATATACTTTGTCATATTATCTGATCTCGATTATTATCCAGATTTTTTTTTTAAAACCGCCAGTTTTAAAGCAGCTGTTCTTAAAACTAAAAAAGAAGTAGATAAATACTAAAGAAGACGTCAAATAACTTTTCTTCTCAACAATAACATCTTTGGAGGAAGACTCAAAGTCATGGCTGACATCTATTTTACTACCCTCAGCTCCACGTTTGGTTACTCTGTTTACTTGTGCAGCAACTTACAGAAGTGAGCAGGAAAAGCTTGACTCTGATTGGCTATTGTGATGCACATTTTCGCCATGTTTGATCAAGTCAATAAGCTCACAGCTGATCACCGCGATTGAACTGAAATTTATCACGATCATATAATCGCTCAGTCCTACCTGAAATCCTGCTTCAGGTCAGCTTGTTGCTATGATTGATTTTTAAATAACAGATTGATAAGATGTTCCATCTTTTCAGAGGTCTGCTGTTACATTTCTTGCAGATCTGTTTTTTTAAAAAGAAAACACTAGAGGAGCTCTTGGTCATAAAAGTCTGGGTCAGGTGTTATCAGCACAAGTGTTCACACAAATACAGATTTAAAAGCATCCAGAAGATTTTCAGTGACAGTCTGCTTGAGTCTGTTTCCAGGATCCAGAGCATCATTTTCAGTCTGTGGAAATGTTTATGATCCAGTTCCTCAGTTAGCACTCATGTGGAAGCGACTTTGTGTGGATGGTTTTGTGAACCAAAGGATGTCAGAGTGACTCAGCAGTGCCCCCTCCCAAGGCCCCGGCCCTGCCGCCACATACCAACACAGATCTTTCCAGGGTGCTTTTGCCCCATTAGTCCCACATGGGCAGCAGCATGAGACACAGGGACAGAGGGGAAGAAGGAGAGGAGGGGGCTCGTCAGGCGGTTGAACTACTGGCATGGTGAGCCTGCCCTGAAAAGGACACATGCCTCCATGCGCAATTATCCACTGTGCATAGAAACGGCACCCCCACCCTGGGCGCAGACACACACAATGGTTTCATCAACACAACTAAAAATGGAAGACAGGCAGAAAGAGAACATGGCCACAGAGCAGCAGGGTGTAAAAATCATTCAGATTAATGCTGATTGTGGGATTTAAGATGAGTGAATGTGTTACAAACGTCCCAGAGGAGAATGTTAAAATGAGCGCAGAACATCAGCTGGTGTTGTGCATGCAGCATGAGATCTGCCGCATATCATGAGGGTTCATGCTCCACAGTAACTCATGTTGCTCTCCTGTTTTTCAGGCTACATCAGCGTGTTAGCAGTGGTCCTGAAAACAAGTAACGACTCGCCGTGGACTGATGAGTTTGACAGTAAGAAACAATAATCATTTAAACTCAGTAGAAAAGTCATGAGCAGTTTCCAAACCAGCCTCTTCATGCTTGTTTTTCCCTTCTCCAGGAGTTGAGTTATCGTGTTTGATTGAGTCCATCTCCACAACCAATCCCAGGATTGAATGGAAGAAAATATCAAGTGACGGACCCAGTTATGTGTACTACGACAAGAAGATTTCAGGTAAATAAAGAAAGAAAAAAAACTTTTTTACTCTCCTAAAGTTAAATTTACGGACCAGCATGAACCTGAACATGTTTGTCTCCTCACAGGAGCTCTGGAGAACAGAGCAGTGATCAGAGAACCGGCCACATTACTGATCACTAATGCCACCAGGTCGGACACCGCCAAATATCGCTGTGAGGTCACGGCCGCACAAGACCTGAAGTCGTTTGATGAGATTGTCATCGACCTTGTTGTGAGAGGTAATCCAATTCACCTTAATCAGTAATTAATCTATGATGGGATTAGGATCATGATGGCTGCAGCGTCACAGATATGAGACTGCTAAACATCCTCAGCACACAATCACCATATCTGTGTGTGTACAAATGAGAAACTTAACATTCTTATTATTTTTCATTCAGTTTGGAGAGATCTTAAAGACCATCACAATTAGAGTAGCTAGTCAAGACAGAGGGGGTAAATGCCAGTTATCTGTGTGCTGTGTGACAGAGTTGAACAGTGAAAACAGTGAGATGCTGCTGCTTTGCTCTGCAAGTTTGATCAACAAATGCTGCAGTTATTCTATTGATATAAAAGAATATGAGGAAACTCAACTGCACTTCAACATCTGTCCTAGAAAGACGGTAAAAGTTGACTCCTGTACTGGCAGGAGGAGAATTAATGGTTACCCTGAGCAAAATATGTTATAATGCTACAATGTCATTTAGCAGACGCTTTTATCCAAAGCGACGTACATTTGAGAACAAGAACAACACAAGCAAAGGACACAAGATCAGTAAAAGCCACAAATTCATTCACGTCCATTTGGACACAGGTACTGCCAAGCAGTTTGAAAGGCAATGCACAAAGTTATGAACATCGACAATGAAGCAACCAATAATTCACCTCTCATCATCACCATCAGTTAACCATTTAGGGGCAACAGAAGAGAAAAGTCGGACTAGTCATTTAGGGGCCTGATTTGCTGGGAGCACCACCAAGATGAGGGGTTCCGGATAAACAGGAGCAGTTTTGGTTACTGCTTTGTAAGCAGTGATTAGAGTTTAGTATCTGATGTAAGGTGTGACTGGAAGCCAGTGAAAGGGAGGTGAACACTGACATAAGTTGGCTGCCTGTGCTGGCTTTGTACATAAATGTGTGTGAAAAAAAACTCAAGAGCAATGATAAAAATGAGGAAGTTTGTCTGTGATGCTCAGGGTATTTACAGTCTGACATGAACACACATGGAAGCCTGAGACACTCTAGGATTTATAACAGTTACTCTTAGTGTGTATTTATGAATGACAGGGTTCACACACACACGCACGCACGCACACACACACACACACACACACACACACACACACACACACGCACACACACAGAAGTAGTAACCGTCTCTCTTCCTTCTGTATTTCCATACAACTCCTGATTTTTATAGTGCAGTTTTTTTTCCCAATCAGTTAATCGTACTTACACCACTGTTTCCACTCTCTGTACAACTGCTTCTTCATTGACTATACAGTAGGATGTAGTACACCAGCTGCTTTTTCTACCACTTTCCAGTGTCTTTGTCCACTACCACTCTTGACTATGAACCATTTTGAGCACAATATCAGTATTTCTTTTTTAAGAGAAAGTAACAGTGAAATACTGTTGAATTAGCTGACATCAAATTTAAAATGAGGATATATTTTTCAGTTTCAACATTTGTTGTCTTTGCACCATTTACAATAACATTTAGGTTTGAAATGCTATGCAAACCACCCAGTTCTGCTGTAACTAATGTTTTGCCTGACGTTTGGGATAAGGGTTGGAGGGTGCAATCAATATTGGTGCTGTAAAAAAAGCATGGTGATGATATTTATCAGCACATCACCCTTCATTGTGCCCTTAAAGAGGGACCTTGCTGAGAGATTCACACTCATGATGTTGTAAGATGAAACCGTGTTGTAGGTCGCACCAACCCTTTGGCATACATACGAGGATGTGTTATGACCAGACCTGCCCAGCTGCAAAGGCGTGTTCTGGGCTATAAGAGGAAACCTCTGAAACTGCATCTCCTCTGGATCGCAGGGCTAAAGAAAGCAAGCGCTGCGTGTTTTGGTGGCGTTTTTGGCACAGGACAGAAATCGTGTGCCCGTTTCTAACCGTCAAATGAACTGGGTGACATTGTTTTTTTTTCAAAGTTCGTCAATGACCTCGTTAGCATCAGCCAGAGAGGTTGAAACCTGTCTGAGATAAAGAGAGGAGGTAGCTGAGGATGTGTTTTTGTCTCCACAGTGAAGCCAGTGGTGCCAAAATGCAGTGTCCCGAAGTCAGTGCCTTTTGGGAAGTCTGCAGAGCTGAGCTGTGTTGAGGAGGAAGGTTTCCCAAAGTCTCAGTACCAGTGGTTCAAGAACCGTGAGGAGATCCCAGATGACCCAAAAACCAGCGTCAAGTTCTTCAACTCCTCGTACACGCTCAACGCAGAAACAGGAACTCTGGTGAGTCTGTGCTCACTCACATGTGTTGGGACAAGGACACGCAGGATAGCAAGGGCGGGGCTGCAGGGGACGGTGGCCTGACGCCCAGGGGTGGGGGTGGATATTTTCGGGAGACAGTTGATGGTGCGAGAGGACTCAAGCCACGGGGGGAATCTGCTGTCCTCGTTTTCACATTCCTCAATTCCTTGCCTGCTTCCCAGCTCAGCTCGATCTGCCTCCAGCGCTCACTTCTGCTAACCTTCATGTCAGCCTCTGAGACGTGACGCTCTAAAGATTACCGCAGCGTCTGTCTTGATGTGAAAGAAGAAAAAAGTTTGAAGTTTAGGGTCACAGCTGCAAAGTAATGAGCTTTTTCCACTCTGCTTATCTGGTTTGGACGGTTATATTTAGAGTGTTTACAGAAACACTCATCACTCCCTCTGCCACTCCCTGAGAGGAAATGATGCCCACCAACGACGCTCACAGAGGAATTTGTGATATGTATTATTATTAGTTTGAATACGTTGAAAAAGTCTTTTATAGTTTAAAAAGAAAAAGCTCTTCAAGTCCTGGAAACACAGTTTTATAATTGTACTGCTCCTCATATTGACATAGTTTGTGTTTTAAGACAAGAAATTCAGATTTTACGGCAGTATCTCAATTTTATCTCATCAATCAATCAATTAGACTTTATTTGTACAGCACTTTCCACACAATAGAACGCAGCACAAAATGTTTTACAAAAACAAATTATTAAAATAATCGAAATTCTTATTCATACCTAAGGTTAAAAAACAACAAAATGAAACAAAAAAAATGAAAAACATCAAAGGAGCTTTTTAAAAGGCGTTTAAATGACTGAATCAAACTGGTCTATGGCCCGGATCTTAACCGTAACTTAAGATCCCAAGCTTGCTACGTGAATAACAGCCAGCTTTCACTTAATTATCAGGACGGATTCATATTTCTGACATATTCTGACAACTTATCTGTGAGTTTACAGTGACTACTTACAACCATCCATGCATGCTGTACAATTAGACTGTAACCACAGCAGATTAGTATTGAGCCATATCACAGGTCATCTCTGCAGTCTGTTACTTTTTTCAGTCCATTCACAGTATTTGACAAGCTGAGGAAATTGTTTTTTTTTTTTTATTTAACCAGGTAAGAACCTTTTGAAATCGAGATCTCTTTTTACAAGGGTGACCTGGCCTAGAGGTTAGCAGGGCACATCACAATAATAATAATAATAATAATGATACAATTCAGAATGAAGAATCAAGTCAAGAGGTCTTTAATATTTGATTGATAAAAGACTGCCTATATTTAAGGATATCTGCCTCCACCCGTCCAGCCCAGGTCATGTGGATTGTCACTGATGCTTGCTCATGTTGTGTGGTTCATGAAAGATTCGTTCAAAAGAATGGAACTGCTGAGTGTACGTCGTAAATGGAATCATTACAATATCCGAATGATTCCTTTCTCAGTTCAGTTGAGCTCAGCCGTGAGCGTGGCATGCCAGTCAGGAGTGGAACTGCTGCCTTTGACTCTTTGGCAAACGACACACAGCCAGCCAGTGAGTGAGCAGGCGAGCGGGATCTCGTGATCTGCTCACAGCAAATGAACGACGTGTATCAGTCAGTCTGGTTCACTGTGTACTTCTTTTTAATCTCTCCACTTTTCCATGATATAAAAGAACGACCACTCGCTCGTTTAGCGGGCGTGCTGCTTGCTGCTGTGCTGTTTCGTTTGCGTTTCGACGCGAACATCGGCGGCACACAGAGAGGGGAGTTTTTCAGGGCAGGGGAGTGATTCTTCCTTCAGGACTTTGGGAATGAACGACATGTGTCGTCCAGTGAACGACACTGTGTCTGAAGCAGCAGGAGAGGGGAGGGGCTTGTTCAATTAACAAACTCCTGATCAGTGCCGCTGTGTCACTCATTCCTGTACTGTACCGGCAGGACAGGGCTCAAAAGAACTGTTCTTCCCATCACTGATGCCTGCTCTGTACTGTACCCTTGGGTCTTTGCTGCTGCTCCCTCTGCTTTAGTCTTTGGTACTGCATGTGCACCCCAAGTGGACTGTGAGAAAATAATGAGTTTTCTTTTGACTGAAGAGGTGCTGACTGATTCATTGGGCTCCATTTAGGTGGGTTTTTCAGTAACAGTGAAGAGAGCTGCGTGTTTAGAGCCACCCCTGACCATGTTGCAACAAAAAGTAATTCTAGTGACTGAATTAAAACCAACATCCCACCCACCCCCAGTGTGCTTTTCTGAAAACCCTTCCTAAATGTTCAGTGTGTGAGCAGCTCTTCTGAAAAGGCTGACTGAGTGGAGGCAGGCCCTTTGTAGGTTTCATGACTCCCTTCACACAAGCATATCTAAGAGCCTGATTTTAGGCCAACTGTAACTCGTGCCTGTCAAACTGAATGACAAGTACAACATCATCATTGTGGTGTTAAATGTAGTGCTGCTGCCTTAGGACTCCATTAAGGTGGAAATATGAGCCTTTTTTTATGTCAGACATTTCTGATAAAACATGATAGTGATCACAGTGATGTACATGCAGACAGCAGCAGTTATAAATAGTTTAGTGTTGTTTTTAAAGTAATGTAGCACCTCAGGCGTCTCCGGTATGCTGTCCTATAGACTGACTCAACCATGACAGAGTGTAAAGTTAAGCTCTGTCCGCTCTGTCACTGAGTCCCCTGGTTCATCTACTCACTCTTTTATCTGAAACAGACAGAGGCAAGTCCAATTCACTTTAATTTTCATATTCAACCTCTCCCGACACGCTCGGGACATTTTGTCTGTTATCAAAAAGGATGTAAATGTGGCTTGAATGTGACTCTTCTTCCCCTGAAAGTCACTGTCTGAGCTGAAACTTTCTGCCAGCCTTCATACACCTAAATATTTCCCTTCTAGACTTTTTTTTTTTTTATTCATAAACTTCCTAATTACTCTTGACTGAACAAACCTTCACAGACTGAGGGGTAGATTTGATTATAGGAGCACAAAGAAACAAAAAGTTGGGCTGGAGTCTTTGGAGTCACTGGGCAGAAAAGGAAAGATGCTTTTGTTCCTACAGGTCTAACAATGATGCAGAAGGTCTAAGGTGTGGAGTCTTTGCATTAATCAGGTCTGTATTTATGGTTTCTCCAATGCAGAAGTTTGTAGCCGTCAGAAAAGAAGATGCAGGCGATTACTACTGCCGAGCAAAGAACGATGCTGGATATGCTGAGTGTCCGGCCCAAAACATGGAAGTCTGTAAGTGTTGCACAGAAAAAAATAACTTTGTTTTTAAAAGGTTCTCTGACTTTGTGTGTGATCCCTCCATTTGTATCTGAACCCGACAGATGACATCGATGTGGTTGGGATTATACTGGGAGTGCTGGTGGTGGTGGTGGTGCTCCTGTGTATAACAGCAGGGATCTGCTGTGCGTACAAGAGAGGCTTCTTCTCCAGCCAAAAACAGACAGGAAACAAGTAGGAAAAAAGAGACATTCATGTGGTTAATACATTTAAGTCCTCCTTTAGACGACCATCCATTAAAGATGCTGTTTCTCTCTGTCTTTTAGTTATAAAGTTCCAGCTAAAGGAGATGGAGTGGACTACGTCAGGACGGAGGATGAGGTATGGAGACTAAGTACTTTGACACATGAATTCGAGACTGTCTGCCATGTTTATGTGCTTTGTTTGGGATAGTGTGAACCCTGGTGCTGACTAAACAACAGTCTGAAAAGGTGGCTCTTTGTTCACTTTTATTCGGACTCTGTTGCAGTTTGTTTGTAGTGAGAACATGAATCAAACTCAATCTGACCTGACTGTGGGAAGAACTTCACTTCTCTGGATTCAATCGGCTACTATAGCGAGTCAGACGTGTGTTAAGACTTATTAAGTATCTTCAGGATGCACTCTGACCAAACAAGTGTGCAAGGTTTTTTGTTTTTTTTCTGCACTCTTTGGGCAGCTGTTCATAAAAACATTTTAAAAGATTATGAACACCCAGGATTCCCCACACACAGACTTTACCCCAGCATCACTTCCAGATATTTTCACGGTCAGTTTATCTGATTAATTTGGGAGAAATCAAAACACACTCTGCACTGCTTAGCAACAGAAGAACTTGGCTAACCAGCCTGCATTGCTAGCATCAGGTAACTAAAATGCCATATCCAACATTTTAAAAAAGCTCACTTCTGCTATTTAACTAGCCAAGGCAATTTGAGAATCCACTATCTTAACTGTACTAGCTTGCAAAGAATCACATGATAAGTGGGACCACAAACAACAGGCCTGATGCAGCCTGAACTGCCCAGGAAAAGTAGGACGATTTTGCATTTGGAGGAGCTTGGTTTTGGCAGCCACTATGAACAAAAACTGTAGTGTTTTAGTGCATATTGTCGTAAAGAAAATTATCTGGCTCGCAGATTGTATTTAAAATGGTAAGTCTGGGTCCGCTTGCCGCAGAGTGTGAGACAGACGTGGAACAGCAGGACTACTGAGGTCAGTGATACCGAGCTGCTCTGCCTGTCTATCTCTAGTGTGAAGGAGCTTCTCACTCTGTGGCTGCAGTCTCCAGCTGCAAGACGTTGTCACCATTTGTGTAGTGACTGTAATATGTGTGTTTTCGGTGCAAAATAACGAGAAAAAACGCAAGTGTTGTCTATGGTTTGAGTGCCGTAAATCGTTTCATTCTTGGTCCTGACCTGACCACTGGCTGCAGTTTTCCTCGTTTTCACTATTTAGAAATAGTTCATCTTCACACAGATGAGCTCATTCGCTGTTGCAGGTGACAGGGAGACATCAGCAGAAATGAGAGATTTCTTTCAAACCTAGTTAAAAGTTCACTACAGGAAGTTTAACAAAAGCCTGAACCTGTCTGTGGAAAAACTGGATCTCTAAGCAGAGGCAGTTTTGAGAGAAGATGACTTTGAAGCTGTTGTTGCTGAGCTAATCATTGAACCACTTCCAGACTCTTTGATTCAGTTTGAACCACAGTCATTAAACACCACCCTGAAATTCTTAGAAGTTGCAGAGCGGGCAGATGATTTAATATCTGCTGACCCTGTTTGGTAATGCTTTAGAAACAAAAATATGCTCACTCACTTCATCTGAAAGGAAGAGGGGAGACTGAATATGCAATAAATGGAAGTAAAAGATCAGTACACAGACTGATAGGTGTATTTATGCAACAAAGGAAGTTGCTATCAAAAATGTACACTTAAATCTGCAGTCAGGTATAAAACTAAGTATGCAGCAAAATCTATAGTCTGATGACCTCTGTGCTTACCTGCCGTGTTGTCTTTGTAGGGGGATTTCCGACACAAGTCGTCATTTGTGATCTAAGGAAGAGGAAAAGGAAGAGGAGCTGTGTGCTGAGTGAGAGACATGACATGTGGGACTAAACTCCACGCTGTCTGACACGGAGCCGCCACCGCTGCTCAAGCTCCGAGCGCTCAGCACGACAAAACACAACTACTCAAAGTTTGCCAAAGGTGACAACAAGGATCCACAGGACAACAAAACGTCAAACTGTCACACATGTAGGGACTGAGGTTCATTTGTCAACTCTTATCAACAACAATGGATTTCATTTTGTCTAAATTATGGGGATGTTTCTTTACAGTTATTGCATGGTTTTTAACAGGCGGAGCAGGGAAGCATTCCTCTGTTCCTTCAGGTTGAAAAAGAGGAGTCAGTCTATCGTTACACATTTCTACTGTAAAACAATAGCTTCATACCCTCTGCCATTTGTATAACATTTCTTTTCTACTGTTGAAATTTGTCAGACTATTTTTGATGGAATATATTTTAAAATGCCTATAGATAAAGGTTTACTTTTTTAAATATTTGTAAAATACTAACATGTGTTTTTTTATTTGGTTGAGGATAAAAACATGTAACACTTTAACCACTTTGCATCATGCTGTAAGCATTTACACCTTTGCGTTCAAAAGAAAAACAAAAGTAAAATGACATGTTTTAGCATATCAAGATGTGCTTCTTGATGAGCGGTCTTACATATTTAATTTCTGCTTTGCTGGGAAAAAGCCTGGCTCATGTCGTGAGAGACTTCCATGTTAATTATTGTAGATAGTCTTTGGAGAGTGCCAGTCAAATGCTGTGAAACACTGTACATGATCAGTGCTGCATTTTCTTGATTTTAAGTGTCCTTCTATGCTTGCTGTTAATCTTGTATATATTGAATTTACTCCAGGCTAGTTTTGCTGTCATACATACATTCAGTATTTCACAAAAATAATTATGGAGATGATAATGATACTAATAATGTGGACAGGGTTTGTAGGTTAACCTTCCAGACCCAGCCAGAAAAAGAGTCAAAGTGGCGCAAGTTAAATAAGAAATCTTTCAAAGTCTGTATTCCAATCTTTATAGAAAATACACTATTAAAGAAACCAAATACAGCTGGTTTTGAAAATTTGAAGTAAGTGATAAAAAACAATTTTAGCCATATTAATTAAAGGCACCAACAACATCAATAAAAGAGACTCAAATTTACATTTGTCACTATCTTTGACACAGATTCTGGCTGATTTTTGCTGATTTTCTCCAAACTGCTTACAAATATATTGGTAATTATTTTTATGAGGGCTAGAGAATTTTTCAAAAACATATAATGTTGGTTCTTGAAAAGTTTTGTACATTAACACTCAAAGCAGGTTTGTGTTAATGAGGCTGACACAGATTTTCAGGGAGGAGATGTGTGCTGAGCTGCTCAGTCTAGTTCCATTTTTAAGGTCCGTCAAAAATTCTGATACATTTTTACAGAAGTCTCTGATCCTCTAAAATAAGGATCTGCATAGAAAATCTGAGACATTTGGAAAGAAGCAGTTATATCAGACAAAGTCATGGTAGCTTTGGTCAGCCTTGCCAGGGTTTCAGGGGCTGTGAGCTGAGCAGTTTTACTTAAGAGTCCATTTTTTTTCTGCACCTTGGCAGGACTTTAGGGGCTAAGAGCTGAGCTGCATTTATAGCAATGTTCTATTTTAGGGTTTTGGTGTAGTCCTGCTGTTGATGAAAGTCTTGAAGATTTTACAGAAGCCTCTTTGTCTCCAAAATAAAAACATGTATGAAATTTGGATCAAGCAGTTCTATCTGACTTAGACTTCGGGGGCTGTGAGCTGAACTGCTTTGATAGGATTTAGTTGTTTATACAGAAGTCCTTTAGTCTCTGAAAGAAAAGGGACAATAGGTAATGATGATAATGAAACAAAACCCAGATTTGACAATTTTACTTGATTTATTAGTATTTTTAGCTGAGCCTTGGCAAGGCTTTAAGGGCTGAGGGCTGAGCTGCCACTTACACTTACAACTGTCTAAGCGCTCACTCCTTGACATAGAGTTTAATTGTGATCCCCAGTCCCAGTAATTTTAGTGTGCATTCCTCATTTGTGTAATCATGTGTCAAACAGGCAGCACCAACCCGACCTTTCCAACTCCATTCCTGTATTAAATTGGGCAAAAAAAAGAAGTCATGTTGCTCTGATTAAAGTCTGTATCATTCTTATTCCTCACATCAAAGCTCTAGTGTTATAGTGATTCACAGCTGAGGTCTGGAGGGTTAACAGTGTTTCTGATTGTATATAGATATGTTTGTTTTTCTTTCTCTCAAGATGATGTGAAGTGGTGAACATTGAAATTTTCCTATTTGAGGCGACATGAAACTCTTTCCATTTTTAAGACTGAGAAAAGAAAACATTTTACCATATCATGTATGGAACAAGACCATGAGCTTCTTAACAACCAAATGAACCTGAGCCGATGGTTCAAAGGACATCCATTAAAAAATGGCTCTTACACCAGAGTCAGATTTGCCCCAATAACAACAACCACTGAAATTCATTGTAGTTGCATGGCGGTTATTGGCCTTCATTCTGTTCAGAGTGGAAAACTCAAAGGCTGCAAATCCTATTAAAAGAATAAACTTCAGAGTTATTCAGTGTTTGAATAACTCACTGATATAAGCAAGGGAGAACATAGTGAGCATGTGGTTTTGAAAATCAGAATCTGAACTGGGTGAGCTGGGTGCTGATGTGAGATAGAGCGGTGTCACCCTGAATGGTTTATAATTTCATAACCACCTGCTCACTATACATTATCCTGTTTAATACTTGACTACAAAGAAGTTGACAGAAAATATTGATTTTATAGATTTCATAAAAGATTTGAGTATACAACTTGCAGTAAAGTGCTGCTGTCAGTGGTTTAAGGGACTTTGCAGAGATCAGAGGTACTCTTACAAGCTTTAGTTTACCAATGTAGAATGCTAGCAGAAACCAGTGTTTTGCTTAAGTGTCAAATGAGCTGGACTCCTTTTTGTCTATGACGCTACCATCGTTATTTAGAGTTAGTCATTATAGTTATGGCGTTTTGGCCAATCAAAATCAAACATTGGGTGATAATGTTAGCTTAAGCAAAGGCACAAAAACAACATAGTATATTAAATTTACATTTTGGAATAAATCAATGTCAGTAACTTGTTGGCAAATAACTGATGGTTGTTTGGCAGGAATCGAGAATAAAGGCACACAGTTTTAGCTAACGTTATACATTAAAATTAAATGAGCACAATATTTAATAAGATTGATAAGGGAAGTTTATTCAGAAACTTAAATCTTTAAAATTTTAACATTTTAAAAGATCAATTAAATCCTACAAAAATTATCTGTTTTAGCTGTCAGTGTTTAATCAGTCATTAAATATGTGTATTCTTAAAATGTTATGCTTTTTCTTTTATCCATTATCTGATTATTTAGGTGAACAATGTTATCATGATTTTCCATTGTTCAGGATATCGGTAGGATGTTATTACTGCTAGAAATGGCTCCCAGCTTGAGCGAAGTTTCTAAGGGAATGGCCGCCATGTAGATAGGATTACCTTGAAGTTACTTTCTCTTCACTTTCATCAACCTTAAGTGAATTAATTCTGAGTGTTTCAGATCTGTAAATGTGGTAAAATGTTAGCTGAGTATCAGTCATGGTAGAGACGATCTGCCCAGCATTTGCGCATAGGAAGTTTTAAACACTGCTCTGTCTTTTTCCAAGTCAACATGTTGCATTCAAACGGCAAAATAAAAAGAAAGTTTATAAAAGAGTACAAACCCACAAATGAAAAGTTAGGTACATTTTTCACAGATTCATACATTTCCCCTCTCATTTGTACAAATTCATTCCTCTTAAGTGCCTTTAAAGTAGTCCAGTTTCTCTGCAGCCATGCTCTCATGCTCACTTCGACATTTTAACAACCTTGATGGGTTTCACATTTATCCACAAGCACGGCGGTTGAGAGGAATGATATCACCACAAAACTCCACTCTCCTTCTTTACATACGTATCTGCAAATTTGTACATAGCTTTTTTTTTCATAGATTTGATGGTGTAGACATGTTGAAGTACAAATAGACATATATTAGTGCCTAAATATAGTGGGAATTATTTTTGGAGAAGACACATAATAGCACTATTAGGCAAAAGAAAACGAAGGAAACCCAAAGCAGAGAGGTTTATACGTTAGCTCTGGTTTATAACATGTTTAAATTTGTCCTGGCTGTCTGTTTACTGTCAGATAAAACAGGCACTGCTTCACTGCTCCCAGAGACAAACACAGTGTTCAAATCCAGAGTGGACTCAGTGTTCAGGAACGTGTCAGCAGCTGTAATGGAGCTCTGATTATTCAGGCAGTCTGAGCACTTAATAAAGCAGAGTTCATGCTAAGTGTCAGACACAAACAAACACACAGAGTCATGCAGGACGCCTCCATTTAGCCCACAGGCAGCCCCCAACATGTCCGTCTGTGATCTGTTTTGATGTTTAAAAGCAGCAGAGAGACAGATTTTATTTAGAGGAGGTTTCAGTGTTCTCTGACTTACCACTGTTTCCGATCAAAGATGGTGGCGCTCCTCTGACACTGCTCTGTGTAACTGTAGAGAATAAGGTCTGGTGTGAAAAGAAAGACCATGACTTTCTGAACCAAACTCAAACAGTAGAATGTCCATCCAGGGCCTGCTGGGGCTGTTTTTGTTCATTTTAGAAACACTCTATTTGTGATTAATAAAAACTCACTTCTGATATTACCAGAGACATGTGTTTCATTTTTTAACTCCGCCTTCTCTTTCAGACTTCTCTTTTTGGTGAAAGCAAACACCTGCAGACATTTATCAACTTAAAGTAGACCTGCTACTCTGATCCATATTCTGATACATCCCAGGAAGTCTTTCATGGTACGCAAAGGTTCTCCTGCTGTATGGTCCCCCCATTAACAAAAAGGTCAAAACATGAAGCACTCTCACTGGTGACTAAGGATATATACAACCCCAGTGTCATGGGGAGTACACCAAATTTAAGTTGGTTGTTCCTGAAAGGTGGACAGACTAATCTAGAGCAGACAGACTTTATTTTTTTTTCTGAGAAGTTTTAATTCAGTGTTTTAAGAGCACATTTAAACACGTAACATCAAAAACATAGGAATGTAAGAATAACAGTTTAGAAACAGAAATAAATCCACCTATTAGCAACAGCACACTGTATGCTGTGTCTGATCAAATACTCAGTCCTGCCGTGTTTTCTCCTGTTAAATTCTTTAATCAGAGTAATGTAGCTGTTGGCTCTATGAGCTGTGCTAGTGGTTAGCTTTTCAGCTGACATTAGCTCTAATAGCCTAGCTATCTGCACTATGAAGTCATACAGGGGAAGTACACTGTAAAACAGTGCAGGTCTGTGTTAGCCACTGCTTACAAACCATTGACAGCAAAGTTATTGAGTTTACAGGACACAGTTAAGCGAGCAACTTAACTACATCATAAATACACTTCCATCCTCTTAGTATCCCAGCTGAGTACAGTGATAAGGTTCTCAGGCGTACTGGGGCTTGTTGGAAGCGGAGCTGCAGTGTCCTCTTTTGACAAGCTCAACCCACAGCCAGCGCATTGTGAGAGTGGCAGGATGAATGAGGTGCTGTGGGGACACTCAGGTCTCCTCTGCTCTCATACTGAGTCTATGATTCAGTGATAGTGACTGACATTAGTGTTCATGTGTGCAGATGTGTTGTTGTAGCAACACACAACTGATTTTTTACTTGCTGAGCTAAAAGTTACTTAGATTTTGTTCACAGAAGTGCCTTTCATGACACATCTGTGAAGGCTCCATTAATGCTGAACAATGTCTTCAGGTTTAAGAGCAACATCTGCTGACATCCAGACAAAGACTTTTTCAGAGAAGACCTTCATATTTTAGCAAGACAATGACAAACCACATTCTAACAACAGGGATTACAACAGCATGGATCTGTAGGAGAAGAGTCCTGCTGAAAAACTGGTCTGCCTGCAGTCCTGACTGTACAACTATTGGAAACACTTTGTGCAACATGTCATCAAACCTGAACTGTGAGCAGCTGAAATCCTATATCTGAAAAAAATGAGACATTTTACTTTCGAAGTCCAGAAGCTGGTCTCCTCAATCCCCTAACATTTACAAAGTAATGTTAAAAGTAGAGGTAGTAAACATAACCCTGTAACAACTTTAAAGCACAGTACTGCCGTCAAATTTACAAAGGGGTTCAACTTTTTATAAAACAATACATAATTTAGTTTTAACATTTGATATTCTGTCTTTGCTTTACTCCATTTAAAATATCCTTTAAATGATTTACAAACTATCAAACTGATTTGATTAGACACAGTGTTCAAACTCAAATAGAATCAGGGTATTAGATTTTGTTGATGACCTCTAAAATCCAATTGCGGTATAATTCAGATTAGCTCCAGATGTGATAAGAAAGTGTTGCTCATTACAAAAACCTTTTTTTCTTTTTTGGTCTTTTGGAATTATTGAGTGGATTGACAGTCACAAAAATGTTTTCCTCCATCTTGTTTCATGTGGGCTGATTGATACTGCTGATGACTGTTGTAAGGTTCATTTGAATATCATCTGTTTAAGAATGAATCCTTCACAGCCGCACAATCACTCTTTGATGTATGCAAATTAAAACTTCACTGCCTGTGTTGTGTTGTGTGTAAACTTAGGATTCTGCATCTGTTCTGTCGCCATTTAACATTTCATAATATTTCTGCTCCTCTCAATCCTCCTCGAGTCTCCCACTGTTCACAGAAATCCTATTTGGTCTGAAAGGCCATAAAACATTCCCTGACAGCATCCTTGTTGATCTAAAGCTGGAATCTATTAGTGGAGTTAAGCCATTTCCACTTTCCTCCTCTTCCTCTCTGCTCATGTGCCAACTGGCAGCAGCCCTCTGGTTAAAGAGCATTATAATCAATGAGCTCAGCAGGGATCATATATTGTGCTCTGCAGCAGGGCCAGTGGACGCTTTTATTTAATTCACAGAAAAATCTATTAAAGCTGCGGTCACCTGTGAGGGAGGAAAAAAGCTCTGTGAGTGTGAAGATGAATCATCTCCCACCATTATTGAATTAAAGGTCAGCACTACACCACTGCTTTTACCGTCACACCACAGAGTTCATCCTGAGGATAAATTCATCTGTGCCTTTAACGTATCTTCTCCACGCTTAGGTCTTCATTCTTCTTCCTTTCTATCAGAAAAACAATTACTTTGTTTTCTCAGTGTTTCTCTCTGGGACTGTAAAGTCAGATCAGACACAGAAACAGTCAGCCTTTCTGTAGAAAAATGTTTTTATTTTCACAAAAGGAACATATATTTGATTTATAATCAGAGTCTGAGAGAGTTCATGCTTCCCCACACAGTTTAGGCACTTCTGGTCCACCTGTTGAACCTCTTCAAATCAAATCACTTACAGCCAAAGAGGACACGAGGATCCCACAAACTGTTACAAGGCAGGAGTTTCAAGCAGGGGCGGCTTTAGACTTAGACCTTTAGGGTGGCTCAGCCCCATCAGCGAGTTTGACACCTGAAGTTCCCCCAATATAATCAATCCTACTGCTAAGCTAATCATTTCACTGAACAGCAAGATTTATATTCATCTTCACTGGATAACAAAAGGATGAACACATTCATGCACCAAGTTAAAAAAAAAAAAGTACTGCAAGACATTTAAGGTGTAGCTCAAAAATAAGACTATAGATGAAAAACTGCAAAACCTGCATGTTTGTTACCCCCCCCCCCCCCCACACACACACACACACACACACACACATTAAACAGCTGTTTAATGTGAAATCACAGCTCTCTGTCATCAGAAACTCTGTAAACACTGAAGTGTTCAATTCAAGACGCTGTTGTCGAGCCTTTGAATAACGTTCACCTACATGTTGAGCAGATCGGCCCTGTGAGGATAAACTGTGTGAGCAAAGGATCTACTGTGTTGAGGCGTAACTCCTGCATTCATAAATCTCAATAATCTCATCACTCCCGCGTAGGACACACCTGTGTTTCCTCACTCTGAGCTCTTCCGGATGCCTCCTCATCTCCTCAAGGTCATTTAGGGACCTGAACTTCCTCCATGATGATGGAAAGGAAGAGATTTCCTAAGAGGGGGTAAGAACAAATTAATTTAATGACAAGCATCCTGTGTGGGAGGGGGGTGTTTGTCTTGGCGAGACATTGGATCCCACGCCTGCTGCCAGTTCTCCTGTGTACCTGTGATCCATCCTGTCATCAGACCTGTGCAGTTTAAAGCCTCAGATTTACACCTCAGGATCAGCAGATGGTTCAGAGTGGCTCTGTTGTGCTAACATCCAGACCAGAATAATCTCCCCTTACATTAATCCTCTTGTTTGCCCTGGTACTCTGTAATCCCGTGTTTACCTTTGCTCAGGTGCATCGTCAGCACAAGATCTCTGCACACCTGACCCACACACTGACCCGCCTGCTGGTCTGTTATGACACAAGATGTCTTTACTGACGTATTTCCGCAGCAGAGTCATTAGAGTGACAAGTTATACCGAGAATAAAATGAAACTGTCAATACAATAAAAGTCACTGTACACTTAAAAGAAAAAAAGTATAATGACAGTATGTGAATAAAGTTGTAATGAGTGGGTGTGTAACAAGGATAAATTTGTTATGTTGTAAGAATAAAGTCATTATGTAACAAGAAAAAAGTCATGATATGATGAGAAACAAGAACAAAGTTGGTATGTTACAGAAAAAGGTTGTCTGTTACAAGAATGAAGTCTATATGAAACAAAACAAAGTTGAAATGATACGATAACAAATCCTCATGTTACAAGGACAAAATTGTTTTGATCGAGGAAAAAGTCGTACTGATTCAAAACAAAGTTGTTTAAAAAAGGCTTTTAAGTAAAAAAAAAACAAATATTGTGTAACAAAATGAAGTCCTCATTTTACAAGACCAAAGTTAGGGTACAAGAATTAAATCTTTATGTAACAAAACAAAGTTACTTAGATTCAAAAAAGTCCTTCCGTTATAGGTGTAAAGTCTTTATGAGATAATAACCAAGTTTTTTAAAAACAAAAATAAAGTCGTCATGTTATAAGAATAAGTTGTTTTGTTAGGACAATTAAGTCGTTAATCTTCTTTAAAGACTAGCAGTTTCAAGATTTTATTCTTGAAACCGCTTTTTTTCTTAAATGTGTTTATTGTTTGAGGACATTAATTTACCTATAATAGCCCTGGATGATAAAAACAACCAACTCCCAGGTAGAGTCTGTGTTTTTAACACATAAGAACCTAAAAACTTATGTCACCGCAGTGGGACCCAGCTTGAGAAATGGGACACTTTAGTCAATTCATGAAGGCAGCCTTAGTAAGCTTTCAGTGAGCTTGTCCTGTATGAAATCTGATTTCTGATCAGCTCTGACACTCTGACACTGTTTATTGTTTTCCTGTCTTCCCTAAAGACAAAGTGTCACTTATACTTTATTGTTGTCATGTTTGAAAAGTCAGTGACAGCGCAGTAACAGTGAATCTCATGAAACTGCAAAGTATTGTAGTCTCACAAGATGACATGACACCTACCAGCCTGCAGCATTTACAGACTTTTGGAGTAATAACAGGCAAATAATGAACTGATTATCTCTCTGGCTTTTGTACAGCTTTTATACAGACATCAGTATTGTATCGATCTAATAAACTCCTCACAGGAGTTTTAATATTTTCCTTGACAGTGAGGTTAATGGATTGCTGTTTTCATTGGTGTTTTTACAGATGCAGAATACACCAACAACACCTGTATAAGGCCCTCTTCTCTGTAATTGTTGATGTTAGGATTTTCTTCTCCCTCCACCTATCCTGTAATGCTGACGAAGACTCTACAGTGCTATGGTTTGTGGTTGCTTCAAGTCTGTTTTCTTTCATTTGGTTAGATGTCTCTTTGACTCAGCTCCTGGTGTGTTTTGACATATCTGGCTAAGTTCTTTACTGTTTTCTTATCTTCTTTTCTCTAATGTTGAATGGTCAACCATTAAACATCCATTAGGAGTTCTAAGCTTTAAAAATGAAAATGTCCCACCTTGTTCATTGATGCATTTTTGCTACCTGGTTAACAGGAAGAATTAAAATATTAATCTATTACAGTCTCCCTCTTGATGGATTTGATTTGCATGATCAGGTTGTCCTTATTTCCGTCCTTATCCAGAATTGAAAACCCTTGCCAGAGGGTTTAACCAAATTATTTGAATAATAAATCTGCATCTTGGCCCCTTGTAAAAAACAGGACCACAGGCTTCATGAATGAGTAAAGGCCCAGCCTATATTCAAGGATTTATGGTGAAACAACATCAAAATATTCTAATTTATGTGATCACATCAAAGGGAGACTTGAGACAACACATGTATAAACCATTGTTTAAAAAAAAAGCACAAATATAAAAGCTAAATTTATCTTCAGTATAATCTCAGATGGGAACTTTCATCAGCATGATCTGATCTGTGAACAGTCTTTTCAGAAGCCGAGTGTCTTCCTGTCTGTTTTTATCTGCAGTGAGGAGCTGCAGACAGATCAGAGTGTGCAGAGCAGACAGCTCAGAAACAGATGGGAGGAAACCTGGAGTGACAGAAGGATGCAGCTTATTTAGACGATCTCACAGCGCGACGTGATGAAGTGACACATTGACAGATTTTTGTGTATCAGAGCAGAGTTGCAGCTGTACCTCCCGATCTCAATGACAGATTATTTTCAGCATTACAGGACAGCTGGAGGACTCCGGTCGTCCAAGTTTGAGTCCAAACGGGAGGAGTCTCTGCTCAGAGGACACAGCACGCACTAAGAGACAATTTTAGACTGTTTCCTCTAAAGTGACTCATTGTTTTGTAAGAGTCTCATTACGTTTCGCTTCATGTAACATGAGAGCCTCAGGGGAGTCATTAAACTGTTGTCAGGGCTGATCATAACTACAGTCACAAATGGAGGATTATTGTGATCTGTTTTCATAAGTTACCAGAAATAATTACTCAGTTATGAGGATGTGGACCCAGAGGAGGTCTGTAATGAGCCAAAGTGATGTAAACATAACCATACATGCTCTTCACCACCATTTCACTTTTTGATCATGTCATGATTCAAATATTTACAGCTGAAGACAAGTCTGTGATTTATGAGGCCTATAGATGCTGTTTTATTTCTCTGCATGAAAGCATGTCTGAGTGAAAACAGAAACACACTTGATTCAGGTCATTACATCCAAGGTGTGTCACAGCATTTCTATGAATACGCTTTAATCTGTCAGGCTGAATGTAACACATCAACTCAGGACAGAAGTTTATTTGATGTTGGTTTGGGGTCTAAGACAAGAAGAAAAGCAGAAAAGACAAGAGTGGTCACAAACATTCAGACTGTGACTGAAAACAGGTGAAATTAACACAAAACAGAACACAGTATGTGGTAAAGGTTGGTGTTAAAGGACTGATAAATGGAAGCGGGGCGGACTGGGACCATAATTCAGGCCAGGAGTTCGACTCCATCCAGGCCAGGCCAATACACATTGACACAGAAATGCTGGCACCGGCGAAAAGTTTTGGACATTTGAAGCCAGATTTAGTGAATAAAATGCTAATGTGAAGAATTCAACATTGGCTACATAACAAATTGGCAAATTTAATATGAAGTAAAGACAAAATGGTTATAAAAAGTCTGTGTTAGTCATGCCTTTAACTACTTGTTACTCATTTAAACTAAGAATGTAGCCTACCATATTGCTGTTGTATTATAATAAAATGTTGAAAGCCTGTCAGAAGTTCTTGAGAGGCATAAAACTTGGATTAGCATGTACCACTAGCATCGTGGCCGTCTTGGTGTCGGTCAGCCACCTTATTAAACTCAAAACAATCACATCTTAGAGCGACAGCAGAAAAAAACACTTACAGACATTGCCTCAGGGGGAGGAGGAGAAAGAAACACGATCAGCTCGGGAGCGGAACGGACAACGATGCTCGATCAGCGCATCTGCAGCCGATCACCTCACCGCTGTCTATTGGACAGACAAGAAGAAAAAATTAGAGTCAATAAGTCAAATCCCAGAAAAAAATTGAAACTCTTCTGGGTCAAAAAAGGTGAAAATTAAGTAGCAAGAAAAAAAGCCAACTTTGACTGTCAAGAAAGAAGTCAAAATTTAATTTTAATTTTAATTTTCAGAAAGAGTTGAAATTCTTATCAAGAAAAAGGCCAAAGTTATTGTCGAGAAAAAAAGCCAAAATCAACATCCAACAAAAGTAGAAACTCGGTATCCAGAAAAAAAAAAATGTTGTTAAGAAAAATACTCTGACATGAATTCCCAGAAAAAAAGCAAAAAGTCTACCATTAAAAAAGAAAGTCCAAAGTAAGAGTCTAGAAAAAAAGTTGCTTTCGCTGTTTAAATATAGATATTCAGTAACCTGAAAAAAGCTTAATCAGCATTTTCACTTGATAAAAGAGAAAAAAGGTTTAAATTCAACAGGAGTGAAAAAAAAATCAGTATCATAAAAAGAAAAAAAGTTCAATTGAGGAAAAAGGTTGCAACTAACAGTCCAGGAAAACAAGGTTCATGTATGTCCAGAAACGTGACATTGTAATTCGATAAAGATCGATTTTAAAATCCAATATGAGACAAGAAGTTGAAGGTAAGTGTCAGGAAATAAGATCATTTAAGATAAGAAAATTTTTACTGATCCCTAAAGGGAGATTCAATGTGTAGTGTTATGTAAAGCATGCATAGTTTGCAGCACAATCAATGCTCAGGAGACAGAGTGAGCTTTGTGTCAACTAAACATTAGTACAACTAGGAATGCTCAACTTCACTTTTCTGACAGCTATCAAGGTCAACGGGACCTTACACGCCTGGACTGATGCCATCCACAGTTGTTTACAAAATTCCTCCTCCAAAATATCCCATCCCATTATAACTTATTAGGTTGACTGGCTGAGATTTCCCTTCACTGTGGTAAGTCAGTATCAAGTTTTATTTTTTCAATTAAAATCAAAAACTAGAAATTAATGTTCAAGAAAATAAGTCAATGACAACTTTTGAGAGAGAAGTTAAAACGTATTGATGAGATAAAAAAGTCAAGATAAAATTCAATAATTTGTCAAAACAAAAGCTGAAATCCAATGTTTATATTTCCTGTTGAGGTCAGATGTCTTTGTTTAAAGGCTGATCTGAAGGTTCATATGATATTTTAACACCTGCAGCACCTGAAAGCAGAAGAGCAACATAGTGCTAAGAGCAAATATGAAATGTAAAAGGGGGATATCTTGTATTATAATTTTAAGATGGAGATGAAATTAAACAGTCCAAAGTAAACCAAGAAAAAGCCAGTCCTTCAGAGCTGGTTTTAGTTTAGAAAAATAAACAGCTGTTGGAGAAGACTTACAGAAAAAAACTTTAGTGCTTAAATTAAAGATAGAACTAAGAGCAGAATGAAAAAAATACAAATAAACTAATTAAATTAGTAGCAAACATGGCTTTGACACTGACAGTTTCTCTGTTCTTCAAATGAAAAATAATATACCCTTCTTTCCCTCTCTCTCTATCCTCTGCTGCCCTGCATAAATTTAGCCCCTTTGACATCTGTGTGACTGGATGATCCATAAACAGCAGCTAGTATAGATCACACAAAGGACAATCAGTCAGATTTCCAGCAGTTTCCATGTGAACACCACATACCGCATCTATAGGATCCTGGATTATCTGCAGCCACATGTCTTACAGCAGCTTTACTTTCTCTGCAGAATTAAATATGGACTGAGGATCAAGATGTGCAGGAGAGAGATGAAACTCTGCTGAGATCAAAGTGACTGACACCCTCAACTCACATCATTCACTGTTTATTTTTACACTTTCCAGCTGCTCTATAGTCAGACTTGAAGCTCTGAGGCCTGAATGATGTTAGGAAGCCGAAAATATCAGGAGTGGTTCACAACGCTGCAGTGCTCAGACCTTCATCAGACCATCATCATCTACAGAATTAGAGGTGTGTCTGCTAACAGTGACAGAGCAGCAGACTCTGCTCCTCTCATTGTAGAATTACCAACATGCAGCGCTCTGAAAAGAAGGTAAACACAGAGACAGAGTCTCACCAAGTTCTTTGTCTTGTTCTTCATTCTCTGACTTTCAGATTGTGTCCATCCGTCTATGGTATCAGTTTCGGCTCACCTCTGCACCCTGAGCTGGTTTTATCACTTTAATAGCAACAAGTGTTTGTATTTTGGAGCTGTAGGTGAACTGTGACACCTGTGCCACCTCTTACAGAGCAGGTGGCCCAATGCCCTTTTTTTTCTTTTTTTTTTTTTTAGCTTGTTGCTTCTTAGCCGTCCATCTCCCAGCTGACATGTCACATCCCAAAACAATTAACACATATTAGTAAGAGGCTGACAGGCTGACTGTATAACAATGAAAGCACTGATGACTCTACAGCGCTGTGGGCTGCTTCTGTCACCGGATGCTTCACAGAGCCATGTTGGGTTCATAACAACCATTTTCCACTCAAATCTCAAAGTAAACGAACTACAGGATTAGGAATGCTCTTGCACATGCACAGTGAAAACTAACATGTCCTCTGTTGAAGAAAATCAGCTGCTGTTGAAATCTGATGGAGCTGTAGCTGACTGGTTGCATTGGTTTCCTTTCTCTCAGATGGTTATTGGTTCAATCTCAGGTCCCGCTGTGGTCTTAAAGACTGAACCCCAAACCGTCCAAATGCTCTGCCCTAGGTCAATATTGACTGGCACTTTGCAAAGCAGCCTCTTCTGTCATGTGGTATGAATGAACAGACATGTACTTTGAGTGATCAGAGGATTAGAAAAGGCCAAGATTATTTTGGTTTCTTTTTAAAGGGTTGTTATGTCATTTCCTGCTCTGGAGGATAGTTTCTGACATTTTTTTTTTCCAGTCACCTTTGAAATCCATTTGTCTGCAATTTTGATCTTTATTGCTCAAACATAGCCTGAACCTTTATCCTACACATGTCAAAGTCAAAAAGAAAAAGAGGAAACCATTCTTATAAAGCAGGCTTTAATGTGCTTGAAACAGAGCACTGCTCCTCTGTAGATAATGCACCCATCATGTCAAACATTATTTATATGTAAAAAGGGAAATACTACTGTAAGGCATGGCTATATTTTCAGAAAAATCCCATCAGCAAGGCCGTGACCCTTCTTGTAATCCACTGTTTGCAGCCACTCGCAGCCTGACTGCCAGAGAGCCTGACCATGCCGCCTCCCCCATCCTCCCCCACAGAGTATACTTACTCTCCTTCTGCTAAATGATCAAATGACAGTCTGAGCCTTGGGGTGCATGCTGAAAAACACCCATGAGAGTGATTTAATTGCTCTGTCAGGTCAGTGGAAGCTCACAGGCTACCTGTTTCACCTGCCCAAAGCTGAACCAGCAGCAGTCAGGCCTCCGTGACGGGAAACGGGGGCACTGGGGGTCCGTGTAAATTGGCTCTGACAGTGAGAAGAATCATTGAAGAAAAGAGCCGGGCTGCAGTTCACTGGCAGCCAGAGTTTGACACAGTGTAATATCCCTACAGATTTACTGCCTGGCCCTCCTCTTTCTGCCTCCTCAGTGTTATTGCTGCAGGTTTTAAAGCAGAGGCTGGTTTACAGCTGCAGGTTGAGCATATGTATCATT